TAATTCCTCCCTGGGCTAAAATGTAAAAAGCCGTGAGTTAAAATACAATATAAGTCGCTTTGGGTAAAAGCATCAGCTAAATGACCTGTAATGTAATGTAATGTCCTGTAATATGTACATGTGTTAGATATATATTATTATTATTATGATTGTTAAAGATAACAATGAAGAACAACACTGTCCCATAATTCCTCGACATGTTCTCGTGTTCCCATGTTATCATGTTCTCATGTTATCAGCTGCCTGAGCTCTGTGTGTCCTCATGTGTTCACTGTCTCATTTTCCCATATGTTCATCTTCTCCGTTCCCATGTGCTCATGTTCTCATAGTCTCATGTGCTCATAGTCTTACGTTGGCATGTTCTCATGTGCCTGAGCTCTGTGTGTTCTCATGTTCTCACACAATGGTCGGGAGGAGAACCTGTTGGTCTAATAAGCTCCAGCTGAGGAGCCTTTATCTTCCCCTCCCCGTCCAGGTGAATGATGCCTCTATTGCACGTGGTGAGGGGGGGGTCACACGTAGACGCTGGTTCCTGAAGGTCGTCTCGGTGGGGGGGTGGGGGGGGCGGCAGGCTCTATACATGCAGCGTATCTCCTTGGCAACGGGTGTCCGGGGGGCGATGTGTCGCATGACAACGACGCTCTGAGAGAATCACGCTGCGTGCGTTGAGTTTTAAACTGTCACTAAACGATGGAACATTTCAAAGTTACATCAATATCAGTTACACCAATTGGTGCGTTTGGTGCGGTGCCTCGTCCTCCTCGTCCCTGTCCTCCTCCTCCTCCTCCTCCTTGTCCTGCTCCTCCTCCTCCTCCTTGTCCCTGTCCTCCTCCCCCCTCCTCATTCTTGTCCCTGTCCTCCTCCCCCCCCTCCTCATCCATGTCCCTGTCCTCTTCCCCCTCCTCCTCATCCTTGTCCTGCTCCTCCCCCTCCTCCTCGTCCTTGTCCTCCTCCTTGTCCTCTCAGACCGCCCACAGCGGTGAGACCTAGAGCCTCTAAAACGATCAGAGCTCACGCACGCACACACACACACACACACACACACACACGCACACCGACACACACAGACACACACAGACACACACCGACACACACACATCCATCACCCTCCAGCCTGAGCATTAATGTGCACTTACCAAAGCATCACTAATGAAGAGATGCAGTAGAATACTGAAATGTGTTGTTGTTTATTTACGGTTAAAAAGGGGTAATTCCTTCATTCCTTCATTCATTCTTTCATTAACACGCCACTCAGTCCATCACCTGAAGTATTGTCGTTGTTAATTATTTATCATTTATTACTCTTTATGTTATAGAACTGAAGTGTCAAAAAGTGTCAAATTGTCTCAAATTGTGTGAGATCAAGTTGAGTTTTGTCTTGTCTCCATGTTTTGTCTTTTGTCATCTCCCATTTTATTTTGAAAGATTTACCTTCCTCTCGTTTCAGGTCACTTGCCCTTCCTCATGTTTTGAATTGTCCTGACCCACCAGTTTCCCATTGCCCTCATGTGTCTCATAGTCTGCGTCTTCCTTTGTCTTGGAGTGTTTTGACCTTTCGTCCACCCAAGCCCACTACCACAGACGCAGTGAGCCTCGCCTCGCTTCGCTTCGTCCCGACTCCTTACGAGTGATTTTTTAGTTTTCTTAAGTTTTCTTAAGAATGACCTTGAGTTTTTTCATAGCATTTTGGGTTTTCCTCCTGGTTTTTGTAGGTATCCCTCTGTGAAGAGTGATTTTCTGTGGGTGTCACGGTTTGGGTCAATGTCTGGTTTTATTTTGTAGTTTCTTGCCTCCCTGGGTCACGTTACTTCCTGCCTTGTCCTGTCCTCCTCTGTAATTGTCTGTAATGTCATGATTGTTTCCACCTGTGTCCAATCACCTGCACCGCCCTAGTGTATTTAAGCAGTGTGTGTCTGTTGTCACTTGTCGCGTCATTGTCTTTTGTCCTGGATGTGCCTCGTTCCTGCCTGCCTTTTTGCCGCGTGCGTGCGTCCACTCTGCGTTTGAGCCTTTTTCCATACGCAACATCCCTGACAGTGGGAGAGTCTAATAAAGACGGCCTAATATGTTGACCCTTCTGCCCCTGAGTCCTCTTTAAAGTCCAGGTCTGACACAAATGTGTTTGGGAGAAAGTTCAATAGCAAGATGAAGTACAGCAATAGACCACCACAGCAGAGTGAATATCTTCAGTGTGTGATATTTATATATATATATATATACATGTATGTAACGTGATAGATGGAGAGCTGGACCCGTGAAGCTCTGACGGCTTCTGAAGCACCGCGTTTACCTTTTTGTTATCTCAGCGATGAAAGATTCATTTTCTTTAGATTGTAGCGTTTATGCTACTCGACTCTCGGGGGATTGGACTGGTTTGAACTGAGAGCAGCTTCGCTCTGCTGGATGCTCAAAGTTCTGATCATCTTCATTCCTCTTGGCATTCTGGAGGTTCTGCAGAAGCTTCTGTTCACACCTCATTCGTTTTACATCTATTGATGAAAACACGAGGAAAGAGATGTTTCTATTATCCTCTGTGAAAAACCTTTCCCTCTAATTCAACATTGTTGAGCAAGAATGTTGTAGGCTGTTTGCAGATAATTTGCATGTTCAAACATCCCATTCTTAATGTAACAATCTGGGGAAGTTAAAATGTTTCATGGTATTCCTCCGAATTTGAACGCCTTTCACCAGACTGCTTCTGTCTCCACCTAACCCTAACAACCCCCCCCCCCCCCCACCACACACACAGCTAACACACACGCAGCGCCTAAAGGGACGCTTCATAGCTGTCTCTCGACATGAGAACATTAAATCCCTGTTTTTATCAGAGGAGTCTGGTGGGTGTGAAGACACAAAGCAGCAGTTCTTTTATTCATGTTAAGGATCAATGAACCGTTTTGTATTAACGGTCATAAACATACTTAGTTTGCCATGGCCATGGTTGCTTATAACTCAATACTGAGAGCGCCTTTTAACCCATAGTGTAAATGGTGTTAAAGTCGGTCTGCAGAACATTGTCTGAAGTTGAGAACAGAACTTCTGCCGTGTGGGAAAAGTTAACATTCTGGGTAGATATTAATAATCAGAATATCCTGAGTATCCTCGAGTCCAGCTGCACCATCACTCACTGGGTCCTGCAGGACGGAGTCAGAGTCTTCATCTCCTCCCTGGGGGGAAATAAAGTGCCTGATATATTGTGATAAATATTTGTGTGACCGTGCAGCCACTTCCTGTCACAGAAACATCACTCTCGCCTTTATCTCCTAAATCAAGTGAGATCTGGATCCGATAGCAAAGCTGCACGACTGGAACGGAGCTGCACAAAATAAAGACACACTGACGGAGGATGAGGACATGCCGAGAGGAAGAGAAATGAAGACGAGGGCGGGAAGCTGCGAGTGTCACTAGTTGTGTAACCACTGGATTGTTGTTGAGAGATGAGGGAGAATCATGTGTTCACAACCTGCTGGTGGCCTTCAGAGCAGAAACTTCTCCCTGATGGAGCGTGTGTGCGTGTGTCTGTGTGAGTGAAGGGAGACAACAAGTCACCTGTTATTTCGGGGGGTTTCTGACCTTCTGTGTTAAAAGGTTTTTAGCAGCTCTTTGTTGACCTGTTCGTCCTCCTCGACCTCACTAACAGGTTCTCTGTGTTCCAACAACAACAACAACAACACATCTCTCCACACCAAACAAGGGAACAGAGAGACATCCGTCTCCACCTTGGTTCTCTAGATGTCTTTTTTCTTTTATTCTGACGTTGCTATCTTTGTTTTTTTCTTGCACTGTTGTTTTTTGTTGGACGACATTTTGTTTTTAGTACAACTCCAACTTTTTTCGCCTTCTTGGTTCTGGTCCATCTTGCCATTCTGCCATCTTGGTTTTTGTTCAGTAACATCTGATTTTTGGGCTGTTGCCATCTTGCTTTCTTGGTTTACAAGCCATCAACCTGTGGAGACGCCTTTACTAAGTCGCCGTAAGGAAAGTAAAATGTCCATTTTTTAAAAATCTCCACTATCTTTCCGGACTTTGACTGCTGAATAGTCTCAGAGAGTTCTTTGCGTTCGTCGTCTCTCTTAAAGGGTTAACGCGCTGGAACAAGTGATACCGCGATCGGATTGGACCGGCTGCACCGGGGAGATGAATCACCACGGCAACACGGATTGATGACACCGGGAGACTCGCGCCAGCTGAACCTTCGGCCTGAGCGGAGAAAAGCTTCCCGAGCACACGGAGGACAGGAAGAGCAGCTCGTTACGAGCTGACGAGCAGACAGAGGGACAGACAGGTGGACACTTCATTACCAGACACACTCTCCTGGGGTCCTTCGGAGGAAACTGCTCTGAAGTGCTGCGAGTCGGGGAAAACAAAACCGGTAAAGAGCGAAAAAGGGCCAATTAGCAGTGATTTAAAAAACAATTGAAGAGCGCAGCTCTTGCCGGGCTCGTACAGGCCGTGAGTCTGGAGACACAAAGCGCGTTGTTACAGGAGACAGAGGCAGCGATCCATCCAGTTAGCAGCTCTATGACCGTCTGAGGAGAAGACCATTTAAGTTACGATTCAATCACGCTGCTGGCCATTGTTTTTTACCTGATACCCCCCTAAACGTCCCGTCTGGGGCTTTTGTGCGTCACGGCGCATCAAAGTCATCCGGAGCCATTATGTCCACATGATGAAATAAGTCATGAGCCGTTCGTATTGGGAGTAATTGGATAATGAAGTCATAACAATGATGACACGGTTGCTTATCTGGTGTTAACGAGACGATTAGATCTTCATCATGAGATGACAGGCGCATGAAATACATTACAGTGTCAGAGAAAGTCCATCAAAAAGATGACAGCCAAAGGCTTCATGTAGGATAATAACTGTATCAAACATCTGCCCTCAATTCTTTGTCCTCTAAAGAGAGAGAGCTCATAGTCCCAAAAACCTCAATTCATTCAGAAATACAGGCAGAAAGGAAGAGATGCAATATCATTTCACCGCTATGTGAACCCGTCTCAGTGTCTGTAATCCCCGCCAGGAGTCCCCTGTGAGGGTCCCCTGTGAGGGTTCCATGTGAGGGTTCCATGTGAGGGTCCCGTGTGAGGGTTCCATGTGAGGGTCCCGTGTGAGGGTCCCCCGTGAGGGTTCCATGTGAGGGTTCCATGTGAGGGTCCCCTGTGAGGGTTCCATGTGAGGGTTCCATGTGAGGGTCCCGTGTGAGGGTCCCCTGTGAGGGTTCCATGTGAGGGTCCCGTGTGAGGGTCCCCCGTGAGGGTTCCATGCGAGGGTTCCATGTGAGGGTCCCCTGTGAGGGTCCCGTGTGAGGGTCCCCCGTGAGGGTTCCATGTGAGGGTTCCATGTGAGGGTCCCGTGTGAGGGTCCCCTGTGAGGGTTCCATGTGAGGGTCCCGTGTGAGGGTCCCCCGTGAGGGTTCCATGTGAGGGTTCCATGTGAGGGTCCCATGTGAGGGTTCCATGTGAGGGTTCTCTGTGAGGGTCCCGTGTGAGGGTTCCGTGTGAGGGTCCCATGTGAGGGTTCCATGTGAGGGTCCCCCGTGAGGGTTCCATGTGAGGGTTCCATGTGAGGGTTCCCTGTGAGGGTCCCGTGTGAGGGTCCCGTGTGAGGGTTCCGTGTGAGGGTCCCATGTGAGGGTCCCCCGTGAGGGTTCCATGTGAGGGTTCCATGTGAGGGTCCCCTGTGAGGGTCCCATGTGAGGGTTCCATGTGAGGGTCCCCTGTGAGGTTCCCATGTGAGGGTTCCATGTGAGGGTCCCATGTGAGGGTCCCATGTGAGGGTTCCGTGTGAGGGTCCCATGTGAGGGTTCCGTGTGAGGGTTCCGTAGAAACACAGAAGTCCCTTGTTTCAGTTTTGCAACATCACACTCAGCATCAGTCTTAAAGTTTCCCTGTGTGAATATAAAATAAGTCTACACGTGTATTTATTTCTATTGTGAAAGTCCTCAGCGGCACAATTAGCACCTGTCTGTCTTTTCCTCACCATGACAACACAATGATTACCGTACAGAATAATTCCAGAGTTTCTTCAGGTTAACTAAAGGTTTGATGCTTGTGACAGCGTGCATGTGATCAATAATGAATAGTTTCACATTAACATTGAGTGTTTATCAGCACGCTTAATCTCTCTTCACATCAAAGCCGGTGATGCAGCTCCATCAAGGCGTCTTCTCGCCGCCGCGTCTTGACATTTGCGGTATAGGCGCGCTGCAATCATCCGCTGGGCCGATAAGCCGTCTCTTTAAGGCCGGCTGGGAGCTGTGAAGGAGCCGCCACATATCTGCACCTCAAACGTTCTGAGGGAATAGCTCCATTTCAAGAGGGACGGTTGGAAAAACCAATATACAATTGGTCGGAGAGCAGGAAGAGGCTCTGAATGACCACAGAGACAAACCCACAAGACATACCACAAAGAGACACAAACCGAACACACAATGACTACCAAGAGACTTCAAATGTCCACAGAAAACCTCAAAAAGACAAAAGACCTCTGAGCATCAGACATTTGGAGCAAATTGCTCTTTGAAGCTCGGTCTCAAAAAAAGCCAATATGCAGTTGATTCTTGTCTCCATGTCTCACTGCGTCTTATTGTGTGTCCTTCACTGCGTCTTATTGTGTGTCCTTGACTGCGTCTTATTGTGTGTCCTTCACTATGTCTTATTGTGTGTCCTTCACTGCGTCTTATTGTGTGTCCATCACTACGTCTTATTGTGTGTCCCTCACTGCGTCTTATTGTGTGTCCTTGACTGCGTCTTATTGTGTGTCCTTCACTGCGTCTTATTGTGTGTCCTTCACTGCGTCTTATTGTGTGTCCATCACTACGTCTTATTGTGTGTCCTCCACTGCGTCTTATTGTGTGACCATCACTACGTCTTATTGTGTGTCCTTCACTGCGTCTTATTGTGTGTCCTTCACTGCGTCTTATTGTGTGTCCTTGACTACGTCTTATTGTGTGTCCTTGACTACGTTTTATTGTGTGTCCTTCACTATGTCTTATTGTGTGTCCTTCACTGCGTCTTATTGTGTGTCCATCACTATGTCTTATTGTGTGTCCTTCACTACGTCTTATTGTGTGTCCTTCACTGCGTCTTATTGTGTGTCCATCACTGCGTCTTATTGTGTGTCCATCACTGCGTCTTATTGTGTGTCCTTCACTACGTCTTATTGTGCGTCCTTCCCAGATTGTTCCTACTTGTGTTGTCTTCTTGTTACAGAATGTCAGAGGTCACGGTCAGTGGTGGCCAGGACCTTTTTTCCCAGGATGCACTGGGCTGGCTGCACGAGGAGTGCGAGGCTTATCGTGTTCAGGCGTGTTTCCAGAGGAAATTAAATCAGCCTCGCTGTGGTTTTAATTATGGAATTCACTGAGCGAGTTATGTGCAGTCTGAAGTGTGAAAAACTGAATTCAATTAAGTTTGGTTGGAAAAGAGTGAAAAGTCTCTTGTGGAGGCGGCGTGATGACGGATGATGGACGGATTCATGTCCCCCTCCTCCAGGGACCCTGTGAAATGCTCCAATGAGTCACTTCTTCCTGTCAAGAGCCGATCTCCACATTACCCACAATGCAGCGCTGCTGACAGTCGCAGATTGGGGAGGTTTATTCTTGAAGCGGCTCATGTCATGATGTGATGTAAAAGTGACCCAATCACTCAAAGAGTGACACACAATCAGGAAGAGCCTCAAAGACACACTGACAAGTACTGAGACACACAAAACCCAAAACGTTTATCAGATGCTCAATATTTAAGATCAGCAAAACTGTAATAAGCTGACTTTGTCTGACGTGATCCGATATGTATTTCAGCTCCAGCATCCAGTGATTTCCATAACGACACGTCTCAAGACTTCCCACCGCCTGCAGATTGTGAATTATTATTCTAATCATAACCGCCCTCGCCTACAATTAAATAGAGAACTTTAATACGCTGCTGCTGGTAACGTCTTCTTCCTTTAGCAGACAATTAGCCTCGGATGCGCTCGACGACTCCTCTGAAACACCAGGGATGAATATTCACATTGAACCTGGAGATTTAACACGAGACCTTTTTCTTATTCCATTTGTGTCTGATTTTATTGTTGAAGGTAGAAATGATTCATCCCCAACATTCGCGCATTGAAGCTGTCAAGAACAAAAAATGTGCACTCATGCAATTAAGTGAATGGAAGCAACTCTTCTTTACTACAAATGAAAGAGTTTACTCCCTGGACAACGTGGACGAAGCACTCAGATCCTTAAATTAAGATGAAGGACCAAAACCACAATGTCAGACGTTTACTCTGCTAACTAAAACTACGGCCGTATGAGCTGCTCAACACCTTTTTACTACGACTGAGACTAAGAGGGGACATAAAGACACATGGTTGAGACAAAACAAAGTGACAATGAGGAGACGATGAAGAGACAAAGAATAGACAATGAAGAAGAGACAATGAAGAGACACGGACGACATGAGGGTGACTCAGTAGTGACACGATTTTGTTAATAAAACAAGTCAGTTACGAGACGTTGAAACGTCAAAGACACGATGAGGACGAGACTAAGACGACTCAGTGGGGAGTCCCAATCGAGCCAAAGACGAGCTGATGACGAGAAGAAGACGAGACTACGGTGGAACAACTGTTTTACGAGATATGTGTTCACGAATAGTCAACAAACTAGTGAAAGTATTTTAGAATTTTTCTGGGGAGATTTTAGGGACTTTTAGCTGTTTTATTTTTACGTCTATTATTTATTCTTCTATGGCATCTGCGTCTCGATAGATTCTGCTGCGTTCTGCTGCGTTCTGATGGGTTCTGTTACGTTCTGATGGGTTCTGATACATTCTGATGGTTTCTGATGGGTTCTGATGGGTTCTGTTACGTTCTGATGGGTTCTGATACATTCTGATGGTTTCTGATGGGTTCTGATGGGTTCTGTTACGTTCTGATGGGTTCTGATACATTCTGATGGTTTCTGATGGGTTCTGATGGGTTCTGTTACGTTCTGATGGGTTCTGATACATTCTGATGTGTTCTGATGGGTTCTGATGGGTTCTGATACATTCTGATGGGTTCTGATACATTCTGATGTGTTCTGATGTGTTCTGATGGGTTCTGGCAGCCGTGTTTAAGTACCGATCACCGTAGTGGAGCTGGTGTACGCGGTGATGAGGGAACGCTGAGTGACGCACAGCAGGCAACGAAGTGTTTGTCTGACTACACGCAAACACACGTCCTCGTTGTTGTCATGTTGTTGTTGTTGCCTCCTGACTTGAGAAGATGCTGTTCACTCTGCGTGTGTTTTGTTTGTTAGGAAGTGGGATGTTTCCCACTCGCCCCCCTCAGACCATCGCGTTTCCCCTGTTTGTCACTATACGCCTTTTATTCATCTCCCATCACGGAGCTAAGAAGAATTCCTTCAGGTCCTTTATAAGAGTAAAAGTACAATTCAGAATTGCTACATCACGTGCTACGTCACGTGCTACGTCACGTGTTACGTCGTCATGCTACGTCACCCCGTTGCTTTCCCATGATCGTAACATAAACCATATTCTTGTTTTCCTTCCAACCCGAGCCGCTAACCAAGACGTTTTGTTTCATCACCTGACCAGCTGCTTTTACTCGCACGGCGCTGCTCCCTGCACGCCACGTACGCCACTTACATTACCAACAAACACTGGTGGCCTTTGACCTTTGACTGAGTGTTGTAGGTTGTTGTTGAGTTCCTCGTGCTTCAGAGGAGGAGTTACATGAAAAGAGAACATGAGCAGTTGTTTCTCGGCTGAGCCGACTCCATCTGCTGAAGACAGAAATAAACAAGTTCCATCATGTGGAAACCACTCGATTAGAGAAACAGTTTGTGCAGTTTTATATATATAATTATAAATGTGAAAGGATCCACTTTAACAATGGTGGTGTTCAGCTTTGTGCGCGTAGGACTGTGTTGTCACAGTCGCTTTCAAGGCCAAAACACCAGAGAGCAAAGACGGAAGTGTGAAGCCACCGAGGGGGAAGAGAGACGCGTGCAGACAACGAGCATAAAGCAGCAGAGGACGTTCTCTGGTTCCGGCCTCCACATTTCCACCTTGAAACAAAGCTCATCTACACCTCCGCCCTCAAAACCTCCTCCTTCGCCGCTCCCCAGCGGGCAGACGTTACAACGTGGCGAGGGTGCGTTCACAAATGTTCCCCCGACAGCGGCGGATCCGTTTGTCTGATGTGAGCCGCGGGTAGCGTGTGCTTTTTTTGAAATAAATCCCCCGAGCGTTTGAGGTAACAGGTAACATCAGCTCCCGGCTCCATCTTTATCCCAGTCGATGTGTTTATTTGGCTTTTGCAGCACGACACATTTCCAGCAGGGCGCGCGTTGCCATGGTTCAGCCGAGCATCAAACCATGGAAACGGTAATCAGGGCCCACAGCGGGCTGATCGATTTCAAAGGAAGCCACAATATTAATATTTGACAAAAGGAGAGAAAGGCATTGCTGCCTCGGAGAGGAGCCGTTTCTAATGGGATGAGCGTTTGATGGGTTTTTCTTTTGTGCCAACGATCAGCAGGACGAGGACAGGGAGCGCTGGCACGCTTAAATCAAGATATCCGCGATGCTTTGGGGGAAGACAGCAGGAAATGAAGCTGGAGGAGAAAACACTGAGAGCTTTTAGCTCTGCTTCTCCATCTCGTCCCACATCCTATCTGCTGATGCAAAGGCCGCTGGAAGCCGCTCTGATGTATCTTCTCACAAGTAGTGAAAGAGCTCCATTAAAACACTTCAGCGAGCCTCTATCCCCACAAAGCCCCTCTGTTCTGACTCAACCCCACGAACACACGCTCTACGCCAACTGTGGATTCACCCGCTGCTGAAAATAGTCCCAAACAATTACTGTTACTCCTACATCTACCCGGGGTTTTAGAATAAGACCGACGCGTGGTTGTTGTTCTCTTGGTTAAAGTTTGGGGAAGATGTTTTCTCAGGCAGCAGAAAGCAGACGGTAACCAATCACCTGTGGCTAAATCCTCCTTTAATCGAACCATTATCAATGAATATTGCACTTCATTTAATTTATTCCTCTCCAGAGTAATAGATATATACATACACTGTATATACTTGTATTTTGTGCACTTATTTTTTTCTATTTAATTGTTACATTTAATGAAATATGTTCTGTTCTGCTATTTTATTGTGTATATATTGAGCATTTTTACTTCCATACCATAAAGTGTTCATTTATCTCTCTATTTAAACAGGTCGTTGCAACTCCCAGCATGCACCTGGGTGAATATGAAGAGGTGACACACTGGTTCCCACAGACGCTCACAACACGTCAACACGTTACATTCAGCAGGAACGCAACGCGTGTTCTTTTATGTAACTTTACAATCAATTCTAACCCTTTCCGAAGCCGTCCAACACCTGCAATTTGCTGTTTTTCCTGCAATTTGCTGTTCCCACCTTTTTTGTGTACTCTCTGCAGTTTTGTCCTTTTCGCAGTCTGAACTCAGCTCACACTTAAAACCCACTTAGAATGGGAATGGAGTGCTGCAAAGGGACATTAGCTTTTTAAAACCGAGCACATGATCCAAACGCGTCACACGAGCCGTGCACGTCAGTATTCCACCTGGTGGAGAAGAACGTGCGGTTCACAGGAGGAGGAGCAGACGGGGGACGTTCATAACTGACTTTCCCCCGCCGCTTAATTAGGTTAGGAAACCGTCACGCTGTGATCATCTGTGAAACGTTCTCATCAGATTCTCTCCTGATTGAGCAAATGTCAGCGCTTTCCTCTCGGGCCTCAGAATGACTGACAGAAAAACGAGAATGTGGGAAAATTGTCATCAAACTCGGGGCCGTAGACCTTTTTATTGATTTTATTCTTCAGTTTTCTCACAACAGCGTCTTTTTCTTGTGTGTGTGTGTGTGTGTGCGGGGTGGGGGGGTGCAGAAGCCCACCTGGATGAGCACCGCTTCGGAGCCACAGAGGAGCGTCACACTGAGCCGATCCGATACGCTCACAAAGAGGCTTTCATCGCGGCTCCATCGCGCCTCACACGCCCACCCAGGCTGCTGAACAAAACAGCAAAAGTTTTCTCTCCCCGGCGGGGTGGGGGGGGGGGGCGGCCATCCTTGATGTTGGGAGGGGAGGCTTGCACAGGCTTGCACACCCCCCCCCCTCCCCGCCCCCCTGAGGCTTTTATTACCCCCATTCATGTTTCTGGTATATGGTATAATATTTTGACTGTCTTGGCTCAGACTCCATGAACTGATTTAAATCACTCTCATGCGTGTGAGCAGGCTAGCGGTCTCAAGGCGGTTAGCGTAGCTTAGCATAAAGACCAACGTTTAAAATACACAGAGTCTGACGTTTGTGTCAGCTACTCCGCTCTAAAGACGTTTGCGGGTTGAATCCTTTTACTTTGAATTATTTGACTTTGCGCTTAGCCAAACTAGCTATTTACACTAGCTTGCAGTCTTTATGCTATGCTAAGCTAATAGTCTCTAGCTAAACCATTAAAGGGGAACCTGTGAAGATGAATGCCAGCAATAAGAAGCAGGATATTTGTGGTTCATTTTTCCTCAAACGATTCCTTAAAATTTGTTTCTGAGCTCAAAATTGAATTCATTATTGCTCAAATATATTTGTATATATTTATTTTCGGTTTGTTTTTCACCTTGTTAAAAGCCCCAAATGTACAGAAATGAAGCCAGAACAGAACCATGCTGTCCATGAGGACACCCAGCATGGACTCCACCTGCTCCCTTTTCTCTTTTTTCAGACATGCAACCAGAGATTCGTTTTTCACTTTCTTCTTTAAACGTTTTCCTTTAAGCGATCAGCAGCAGCTGAAGTTTGACATTCAGCTGGTGGCGGCGGCCCGGTGGGAGGAGCCGGCTGATTCGGATCAGAATAACATTTTATGGCATTTAAAAAAAAATCATACTCCACATTTTTTCTAGGTTTTAGTTCATCTTTTTTCTGTGTGACTGGGTTCGGCGCCGTGTTTGTTTAGCCTGGCATGAAATGGAACATCGAGGCTAATAACAACATCTAAAAATGCGTCTTTTACAAGAGTAAGAGTCCCTTTTTACCACAGAGGTCACTTTGCACTATTTACAGCATCCAGACTCGTCAGCAAAGTAAAGTGAAACCACAGCAATGCATACAGACTCGTACGTTGTTAAAACACCCGTCACAGCAGCAAGGAAACCATGAAACACACTCTGGCCTACGAGAAGAGACCAAATCTTTGTCTTTTTGTTTGTTTGTCTCGAACTAAGACCGTGCTCCTCTCTCCATCTGGAGGCCAGGAACCAGACTAGAAGTTTGTTGTAGGCACCAGTATTTCCCGTTATTGAGTCAGGAAAATGAAACACAAATAGGCGTCTGAGCTTTTTCTGCCCTTTGGGCTCGTGGTAGCTTAGTCCTAAGCTGCTTGTACTTACAAGCCAACTGACGTTGACTGTCAAACTCTTATGGCAAAGTGAGCTGCAGGCTGCGGTCCAGTGCAGCGCCTGCAGGAAGGGGGGTAATGGGCCTTCTATCACCTGCAAACCAGTCTGCAGCTCCCACACCACAACAGTCCTCCCCTGCAACAGAGGATGGGGTGGGGGGGGGGGGGGGGGGTTGGGGGTGTTATGGCTGGTGGTCGTCGCTCATGCTCTGAAGCATCTGAACTGTATTAGTTTGTGGAAAGCCTGCTTGAAGTCCTCGTTGGACATGGTGTAGATGATGGGGTTGATTAAGGAGTTGAGGTAACCCAGCCAGGTGAAAATGTCAAAGAGCTCCGGGTGGAGGCAGGACTCGCACGCTGGCACCAGGAGGGTGTAGATGAAAAACGGCAGCCAGCAGATGATGTAGGCTCCCAGGATTATTCCCAAAGTTTTGGTAGCCCTCCTCTCTCTGGCGGCGGAGATGCGCTTCTTCTCCAGCAGGGCGTCGGACACGGTGACTTTGACCTGGTGCGCGTTGGCGCAGGAGGTGGCGTCGCAGGAGGAGGCGCCGTTCGTCCCGTAGTGCAGCGAGGTGCTGGACGCCACGGAGCCGGGCGAGTCGGTGATCAGGTGCGCCGAGGTGAGCCGCTTGCCCGGCTTTTTGCGCGCCTGCTTCAGGATGCGCTTCCGGGCCTCCACGTAAATCCGCCCGTACAGGGCGATGAGCAGCAGCGTGGGGATGTAGAACGCGCCGAAGGTGGAGTAGATGGTGTAGAAGATGTGGTCGGTGTTGACGTTGCAGCTCGTCACCTCCTCCGCCCTCACCTGGCGCCAGAAGAACGGCGGCAGGGAGATGGAGATGGCGATCACCCAGGCGGTGGCGATCATGCCCGCGGCGCGCCCCATCGTGCGCTTATTGCAGTACTCCACCGCGTCCGTGATGGCCCAGTAGCGGTCCAGCGCGATTACGCACAGGTGGAGGATGGACGCGGTGCAGCAGGTGATGTCCGAGGACAGCCAGATGTCGCACATCACCTGCCCCAAAGTCCACGTTTGGCTGACGGTGTACAGCGCGCTGATGGGCATCACCAAGATGGACACCAGCAGGTCCGTGAGGGCCAGCGAGGCGATCAGAAAGTTGGCCGGGGTGTGCAGCTTCCGGGATTTGTAAATGGTGGCGATGACGAACGCGTTGGAAAGCGTCGTGGCCAAAGTTATGAGGGTTAAGGTCACGGCCAGACCCGACTGGAGAGCCAGGTTGGCGTCCTTCTCCTCCTCGTTCGACGTGAGGTTGCCATGGGTGTAGTTGGTGGTGTTCAGCAGCTCTCCGTAGACGACAGGCGTTGGTTTGAGCTCACCGGCATGCTCCATCCCTCTCCACCTGGCCCCCGTCAGACGGCCCCGTCATTGAGCTCAGAGGAAAGCCCGCAGATCACCGTGAGAGCGCGCAGGGATTCATCCAGCGTCCGCGGCTCCATGTCCAGCAGCTACTCGACCCGCAGACCTCAGGTGATGTCCCAAAGACGCATTTCTGCCTCCTCCTCTTCCTCCCATTCACTCCCCCCGCCGCATTTCACGCTAATTCATCCCCTCACACGTCCAAGAAACGGCTCACAGAGCGGCGTCTCCATCCGCCGCGCATCCGCCCCGCGGAGGAGGACAAGTTGGACTCATCGCAGCTCGCAGGGGACAAAACGCTTAGTCTTTGTTCCGCTCACAGTTCCTCTCGAGTTCAGGCTGCTGAGGTCTGACTGCTGCTTTTATACCCTCCCTCCATCCCTCTCTCTCTCTCTCTCCCTCTCTGCCCCCCCCCACACACACCTCTCTGTCCCTCTCAGTGATGGAAAGGGACTTTTTTTATCTTCTCCATCTGATGGATTTATTGATACTAATTTATCAGGAGATTATCCCTAAAATGTCATGATAAATAATGAATAAATAAGTAAGTGTATGATTGTATTCTTACTATTGTATTCTTATAGAAGCTTTAACGGTGCTAGCGGAGCTAAGACGTCTGACTGCAGGTTTTAAGCTGCAGCTGTTTCAGCCAAACCATGATGGTTTTAACCAAACAGCATGTTGATTTTGTCCACAATCAGAGCGAGTATGTTTCCCTCAGAATGCTGTGAATGTCAAATAGCACCTTTGGTGACATCCATTTTTCAGCATGAAGATCTAAATGTTATTTCCAACCTTCTGCTCTCGTTCTCACGTGGTAACCATCCAACCCAAGGTGACTGGTAGCTTCCTTTGGACTGAATGCATCTGGCCGTCTCCATGAGGACGGTTGACGAGGTTTTCAAAGAGCCGGATATACCAAATCCCGTCACATTTTTTAATCAGTAAAAGAATTAATGCTAAAATTTTTAGTCTTAAATTATTTTGTTTTCACTTTGTGTGTTACATTCATTGACTCACATGTCCCATTTTCACATGTTTTAGTCCCAACTAAGCAGATCACCAGGAATGAAGGAGGTGAAACAAAAACCAACGATGGTTAACCACGATGACACCAGCTGGACTCTTGTGCTACACCACACCACGTGCTTTTTAATGTTTTTAGATTTTAGGTGTCTTAAAAACATCTGGTTGGGGACAGCAGATGGAAATTAGCCTTTCTGGCCATTTATGTTTCACTTCCAGTACACCTGTTGATTAGTGGGCATTGTCCCTGCAAAATAAATTAACTTGAAACAAACAGAGGGACAGTAAGGGGGAGAAGTGATGCCGGGGGGGGGGGGGGGTCACACTTGGGGAGCTGCCCTTCAGGTCTGTTGGTTGGATGGACTCCCTCGGTTCCAGACTGAAGCACCTTTTCAGCATCCTGTTACATTTGAGGCTGAAAAATGTTTTTTCTTCTCCTTTATGATTCTCAGGGTCTCATTTTTACACAGCCAAAGTGAGATTTCACACATGAATAATTCATCCCCACTTCCTTTCACCTCGTGCATCACATCCACACTGCTGCGCAGCTGAGTCACAAAGCGAGGAGAAAGCTCTTCTTGACCTTTCACCCTCCCGGCTGTGAGAACAGAAGCTTCTGCAGCAGACTGAGGAATCCAAACCTGCGGCTCAACCCAGCCTCTTGGGGAGAGCGCTGTGGCCTCACTCTCACTGTGAGGAAGCTGGGCCTCGACCCGCTGCCCCCCCCCCCACCCGGAGAGGAGCAGCTCGTCCCACAGAGGCCTGGTCTTCATCCCACCGCGTTTGTAGAGTTTTATCTGTGGAAATACCGCTTGAGAATGAAGGTAGTATTCATCACGTGGGGTGTGGTGGGTGCTGTGTTTATACTGTGTCCTGGTAACATGAAGGAGGTTAAATTATTAATATCACATTATCAACGGGAAACTTCCAGCAGTAAAATCTGAAATAATATAATACAAACAATATATTTAAAAGAAAAATAAGGAAATTAAGTACAACTGGCTGGAAATTGTACTTAAGTAAAAAACGATGTCAGACCACCTCTGGCTGGGAGAAGAGACGCTTCTGCATCGCTCGATCTGCCGCCATCTTTATTCTTGGGTGAAAGTGTCACAGGATTCCACGGGTCACAGATTTGGGTGTTACACCTGTACAGTAAAGCTAAACTACCATCGGTGTCCTCACTACTGTGTTTTTTTATTTGACGTCGAGGACAGACCGGTGCAGGGCAATGGAAAGGAATGACTGCCACCGTAAAGGTAATTATTTAAAAATCAGTTTGACGGTTCGACGTCAGCAGCACAAAGCGGAAATGTCACGTAACGTTGAACTGATGTTGCGTTTCAGAAGCTAAGTTAACGTTAGCACCACGGTAACTTGATCTAGCTAAGTTAGCTAACTTTTGCTATAGTTTGCTATAAATTGAAATAATAGCAAGACGCTGGGCCAAACAGAGGAACTGAAGACTTAATGAAAGTAACGAAACAAGTAATAAAATAAGATGAACAATCACATTTTAAAGTAATTATGTCTGTCCGATAATGGATGCATGACAAATGTTAGTTAAAGTCACAAGGTTAATAACTACGCTAACTAAGGTTAGCTGACGTTAGCTTGCTCATACATACACTATTTAACCGTTAATACCTAACGTTAAATCTACCGATGGTTTGACGCTGAGGAGTAACAGCAGGTTGTATTGTGTTCATGTTGGAGACACTTTTAAAATGTACGATGTTTTATTGGTTGATTATGAAAAGTGCAGTTTTTGACCAACTTGAGCTTTAGATAATAACTACTTAAAAAACTAGCAAATGTTGCTCAATACTAATCAACAGCAACGTTTGTTGCTGTTTTAATAATGTTTCATTTCTTATTCAAATAGTTTTTAGATTAAAAATCTTAATATTCCAAGTAAATTTTGCTGTAATATAAATACTCAGTATTTATACTTGAGTATTTATATTACATATATATATTTAAATATAAATACTCAGTATTTATATTACAGGGTAAGAAGTACAATATTTCTTAAGTTGTATGAAGCGTCAAGAAAATGGGACGATCCAACGAACATACAGTAGATACCTCAAATATTACTTCAGCCTTTGTAGTGTTATTGATATTCAAAATGAAACGCAGTAAGATTGTTCTTCACACAAGCTTCAACCTGTTAATGTAATGAATATTATTAACTTATTTTTAAATGACCAGCAACAAAACAGCATTATTTTGAGCATTATTTTGAGAGCTCAAGCTTGATAATGATGAGAAGTGGGCTGGCAGACGTCTGTCCACCTCGTAGTGGAGGTCGGTGGACATTTCTCTTGTTACACTTGTTGTCTTTTTGAGTCGTCGCGGCTCGTTTGTGTTTTGGTCTTCTGGTGTTTCAGAGAATAAAGTAGCTTAAAGTGGACTACAAGAGAACCTGTAGCTTCTCATACAACCATAAAGCTGAGATGTGGACGTTCTGCTTTCCCTAATGCTGTGCCCCCCACCGCCCCTCCTGCCCGAGCGGGTCGAGCCGAGTGGTTCTTCATCAGAGCCAAAGTGGCGCTGGCCCTGGTCGTCATAAAGAACCGCCCCCCGGGGTCGAACGGCAGAGAGCATGCCGAGGATTTGTCCCGCAGGTTGAAGGCCCGCGATGGCAGCTGGCGGCAAGTCGCCCGGGGGTTGCAGCAGGAGGTGCTGAGGCTGCAGCAGGAGTTACTGCTGTCCAGAGTGACGTCACGCCTGCAGAGCGGTGCCCGGGCAGCAGGTACTTAATGCATCCCCACAAGGCTGTCCGAGGTCGTTCCTCCCCGTGATGGTTTTATGGAATATGAAGCGTTACGGTTGACTGCAGGAGGTAACACGCAGCGTGGGATAACGTCACACACACACACACACACCTGGCACTCCTCGTCCCTGTGAACAGATATGTAATGCTAACTTGAAGGTTAACCAAAATGTAATTTGGACCAAGAAAAGATGCCGGTTGGAATTTTGAGCCCAGGATGTTTTTGTGAAAGTGTAAACTATGTAAATTCTTAATGTTTGATTTCTTGATGCTCCTTGGATGGGCATCCTTCAGATTTTTTTTTTTTTTGACGTACCAATCTAAAGAGAACTTGGGCCTTCACAACTAAATATTTTTTTTTAAATGTCATGACGACATGTTTTCTCCTTTGTTTTATTGTTTCCCTTACATGTCGGTGTCACTGAGGGGACTAAAATACCAGAAACTCACTGAAAAATACATGAAAAGGGAAAAATAACGGTGAAAATAAAAAAGTTATTCTGCCGCTGTTTCGACCGGGTAGCTTAGGGGAAAAGTTCTCACAGTGCCTTTTGAGTCAGGTACTTGAATTAGTGCACGTGGTTCCTTTCCTTGCTCTCTGAACGCAGACACGGATTAACTGATAGCACTTTTGTGGTCAGACCTTCCAGATGGTGACGACACCTCAGACGACGCTTCCCAGGACCTGTTCGCGCCGGGAGGTGAATCTCACGGCGGCGACTCGCCACCAGGCAGCGGCTCGGAGACTCCTACCCTCCTCCCGCCTGCCTTCGCCCCTCCTCGGCCTCCGCTTCCCTCTGGCCTTCCCCTAAGACCCTGCGGGGAACCCTCGGTTCCTCACGCGCGCTTCCTCCAGTCGCTGTGCTCCCTGCACCGGGTGGACGACGGCAGCCGCGGCCTGGAGTCGCTGTGGTTCGGCCCGGTGGGGGCCTCGAGCTCCGTGCTGCCCGACTCCGTGTGCCAGCTCCTGGACTCTGTGATGGCGTTATGCAGGGCGCCCCCGCCGCTGGGGCTGGGCGACGGGGTCCTGCAGGCCTGTCGGGTGGCGGCCCGAGCGACGGACCTCTTCTGCTCCCAGAGGCGGCCGTCCCTGGAGTTCACAAGGAGGGTGGAGGAGTCGCTGGCGGAGCTGATGGCGCTGCTGCTGCACAGCAGTCAGCTCAGCGGGGTGAGTGTTTGCTTATCAATCAATCCATCAATCCATCAGTCAGTCAATGTACTTCCTTCTCCATCTGGACACAGCTGGAAGGCTCCTGCCACAGTTAGACGATGCAGTTCATCAGATGCACTTGTTTGTTTGTGAATGTGTAGTTTCAGATTCATGTCAAGTTTTAGTCTCCGCGGCGTGACAATTAAAATGTTCTCTGTGGTGATGCCGAAAAGCAGCAGGTGCAAACATCTTACCTGAAATAAAACATATAAATGAATTAAATGAACCAAGAAGATTCTTACTGAACCAAAGAGAGTTCTGCTCCCCAACGTGTCAACTAATCTAATGTTCAGCACGGTGACGCTCTCTGCAGACGCTGCTTTTGATCCCCAGTGGGACTGTTAGTGTTCTTACAGACCAGGTTTCCCTCTTTAGACCAAAAATGCGGCAGATTAAATCAGTGTGCGGTTGTGTTCTTCATTAATCAAGCTTACAGTCTTCATCCGACATTTACAGCAGCCGGAGAGCATTAACTTCAACACAAAACAAGTGTTCATACCCCTGATTTCCCATGAGCATCATCAAAGATTCATGATGCTGGGCCGAAGAGTTTTTTTTATAATGCAGGGCTCTCAAGTTTCACGCATTGAGCGTCCACGCGACCCCCCCGCCGTTTGTATCAGGTTTATGGATGGCCGTGGTCTTCAATTACCTCTCTCTTTTTTTGATGTGTTTGCATCCCTAATTATGAATCGGAATGTCATGAAACGATAAAGTGAGACGAGTGTTGGCGACAGATAGACCTCCCTCTTCTGGAGCTGCTGCCTGGTCCTCAGTGGAACGAGGCGCCGGGGAGCGGATGGGAGGCCCTTCGGGTCAGGAGGCCGCTTTGGTGTCCGTTTGTCCTCGACAGCGTCGCACCGGCAGCCTTTGGTCTCCCAGACAGACTTTTCTTACCGTTTATTGCATCCAGGTCGACGACCCCTTTTTTCACATAATGCTGCCGTCCACTGTTATAGCCACAACATTTGCTCCTAGGTGAAACGCTTTGAGTTATTAAAGTAGAGCCGTGGATGAAGACGTCTGGAGAAAAGGACCCTCCTCTTATACACGCCGCACAGGTCGCCTGGTTGGGACGCTGAGACGAGCTGCTTGGAAAAACAATCTCCTCCCTTCAATTGTTTCAAATTATCAACTAATCCCTTGATGGGATTGTCGTCCAAGCCGTTTCACACGGTGTCCTCGCATCGCTCAGTGCTGGGGGGAGGCGGAGGGGGGAGTTGGAAGGGGGAGTTATCGGCAGCACAGGCCAAACAAAGCAAATTTAATTTCTTTTTCTGCCGTTAGTTTCTCTTCAAGTTGCTCTCGTTCGAAGAACGACCCGCTATCTGATGAGCTGTGAGCGCAGGCTTCCGGTCGAATTCCCCCCAAAACAACTGCGGCAACGGCAACAATGGTCCCGCCGCCCTTGAGCCAAGCAATTTGTCCCCAGCTGCCGCGGTGCTGCCCTCTGGCATCTATTTGGATGTGTTGGAAAATATGAACAGACTGAGTGAATATGAATGAGGCCGCTGCTGAGCGTGAGCATGCATACTAACAATCCGCCTCTGGCTCACCAGGAATTAAGACGCGTGGCGGAATTAAGACGCGTGTAAGGACACGTCTGGTGATGAGGTATAAGGGTATTGTGTTTATCACAGTATTACGAGAAAACTATTTTACTTCCTTAGTAGGATCCGTTGAGCTTGGAGCTTACAGACAGGAAGTCAGGCTGCATTCCCTGTAGTGACCAGCAGGGGGCGACTCCTTAATGACATCATGAAAACCCCTTTTGAGAACTAGCGGGTCTATTTCAATTTTTGTAGCCAGTTTGTGTTTTGTGTTCGAATGATGCAGAATGTTTGTTGCTGGTTTTAAAGATGGAATCTCTCTTCAAACCTTCAGCTCGGGTACGCAGAGAAGCTGGTGGAGTATCTGGTCGCTCTGGGAGGCAGCAACACGTCCAAGTCCTTCGTCATTCGTCACCTCCTCTCACTACTCTGCTCACTGGCCAATCAGCTGTGGCACATCTTCCAGGTAACATCCCCCCCCCCCCCCCCCCCCCCCCCGTCATCATCATCATCCTTCTCTCATCTGTCTTCTGGCGGTGTGACGGCGTTGATGCCCTCCACTGATGTTCATGTAAAGACATGACATCCCTCTCATGAATCTCACCCTCTTCTTCTTGTCTCCCCCACTGAACCCTCCCTCTTTCTCCCTCTCTGACACACATCTTACTTCACCTTTCTGCTCTCTGTCAGCCGGCCTTTGGAAAAAAGGAAATGTGTAAAAAAGCAAAAGAATACAGGTGACATTCTGCCCTTCGTCCCCCCCTGCTGAGACGCACTCCCACCCAGCAGGGTTGCTCATGCTCGCTGGCAGCGTTCCTCCTCCTCCTCCTCCTCCTTCTCCTCTTCCTCCTCAAAAGAGCCTCTGGAGGCGGGCGATGCAAAACGGGAGGATTTAATAAAGTAAGAGAGGAAAAGGAGCCCAGAGGTCGTGTGTGACAGAACAGAGACGTAATGAGGGAACTCGATCGTTAAAAACATGAAGTGGCAAGAATGGTTTTAATTAACTTTGTGATATTGTTGCAGGGGTCCCAATTAGGCCCTTTGTTGCGCAACTAATAGATGCATCAATTAGATATTTAATCACCACACATGAAGCCTTCTGGCAGGGACTCCTTTAGGACAACTAAACACTTAAAAAACTCTTAACCGCATGTCGCTTTGCAGATAAGCGACTCTATAAAGTTCCCTCTCATAAGCTCTCCATGCATGGGGGGGGGGGCTTCAGGGGAGACCCTCCGAATCCTCTCCGTCTCCTTCAAGTTCGGCTTCTGATTCTTGTCATGGTGCTTCCTGTGTGATCCCGGAGGTGACCTGTGTCTTCAAAATAAGACGCTAAGCAGTTTGTCTGGCCGTGATGCCGTTAGGACGTTGAAGCAGTAAATAGCGGCCGAGCTGCAGGTGTGAAACATATTTCTGGATTCATCCAAACAAGCTGAAGCTCTGCTGCCCTCCAGCAGAAACACCAGCAGCCAAAAAGGCATTCAGAGCAGCTGAGCCGCGCTAGCAGGAAGGACTCGATCTACTCGGCTAAAGTGTGTCATCCTCAAACGCCGCGGTGCTAATTAGAGCTTCCCACGCGCCAGCGTCGGTCTCGCTAACGCAGGTGGGAGAAGCAGCGGAATGCTGTGAGTGAGTGAGGAGAAGCTGCAGTGGTTCATGAATAGGAAGCAATGACTCTGCTGGGTGCTCAGAATGACACACGGGCTGAAGGGGCCTTGTTGAGGCTCATTTCAAAGCTACGTTTGTGAATCAAACGGAGGAAAGAAATGAGAATGAAACGTTTCAGTGGATTAAAGTGATGATCGAGTTGCAGCTGATGTGTATGCCAAGCATTTGCGAAAACATTTTGAAAAAAGGGAGAAAATGATAATAATTAGAAAGATATTGAAATGAAATGAGGGATGGCAGACGTGTTTGTTTGCCTCATATCTTGTCTCTCTTGTGATGGAAGCCTTTTGTCATCTAATAGACCATGAAGCAGGGGATGCTTTAGGGCGGAGCTACACGCTGATTGACAGGCCTATACAGCGTCCCTGCGTCCTCAGTCCTAAAGAGTGTGTTGTGCGGTTGAAAGAGGAAGTATAACTTTCTAGTTTCCTTCCGGATGCTTTTATCTTCTCGGTATTTGTCTGCATTAAAGTAGTAAATCGATATCTAAAAGAATAACAAAATGTGTTAAATTTGATCCACTCATGTGTGACAAGATAACAGAACTCATGGAGCAGGAGCTCCGGCTTCCCCACATGCAACATCCTTGATTCTAAAGAAGCAATTGGTCTCCTCGTACCCAACCCCCCCCCTCGGTGGTGACGAGAGCAGCGCTCCTGTCTCACTGAAAACCGCCTCTTTCCAGCCTTTTCTTTAACCGAACGTTTCTGGGCCCGCCGAGTTGTGACTGTCTATTAATCTTTTTGCAAATCAATTTATTAACAAAATGGGTTAATTAATTGAATTATTGTATTCATTTTAAATTTGAAGAAAATGTCTTCAATCGATTTTTAAAAAATAATTTTAAACCATTTTAAAATTGATCAATTAAATTAAAAAATGCATCCTCTACAAATCAAGAGACCCTGTCCCGATGTGTGTGTGTGAGTGTGTTTCCCGAGACAGAAATAAATGCTCGGCTGCGATTACTCGTTAGTGATTTTCTGTCCTTTCTTCTTCTTTTGGAGGAAGCTCTGTTGGCGTCCGTGGTGACGGCTTAATTAATTGGCATTCTTTGGTTGCCGGTTGCCTTCGTCTCCATCCGTCACCATCCTCCCACGTCGCCCGTCTCAGCCTTCACTGGAGTGATCCTCCGCATCCACCGTCCGGCCAGCATGGTTCATTTTGTGCTCTGTGTCTTCTCTGTGGACACCGGCGTTATTTAATGTCTCCACGCGAATGCAAGCAGCAGCATTGAGTTCGGGCTGCCACCTAGCAGCTGCTATCTGACCTCCTCTGTGGAGACACCGGCTCTCACAGATGGTCTGCTGTGAAATGATTTGAGCCGATGTTTGAAGCGCTTTGGTGCAGGAATTTGGCCAAATTCATTTTGGCAGAATTTTCAAAGGCTGACGGCCATAATGTTTAAATGCACGACGCGACAGCGAAGGGGGAGGTTAGTCAGACCACTTAACTTAACTAAGCTTGGCTTTATTTAGGTGGACTGTTACGTCTCCAGTAAGGTGAAAGAAATGTTCAAATATCTCCTCATTTGCTTTTTAAAGTTTTTTTTTTTTTTTATCTCATGGCGATAAGAAACCAGCTTGTTGGTTTGGTAAGGATCAAAATGCTACTTTGGTGTGTGTGTGTGTGTGTGTGTGTGTGTGTGTCCTCTGACTTTGAGGAGATAGGATCGGTTTCCTGTCAGTTGAATCAGCGGCTTGTCAGCGGACGCCGTGGAGGAAATAAGCAAATGGAAGGTGAGGACGCGTCGGTCCATTCGGGGAGTTGTTTTCTCTGCTGACAGCGAACGAGATGGAAAACGTCTTCTTTATTTCATGATTGATTGAACCGTGGTTCAGTTTGAGTTCTACGACCAGACGACGTCATCGTCTCTCTCACGTCTTTCTTTCAACGTTTGAGGCCGAAGCCCCCCCTCGCTCCCCCCTTTCCATGTGAGCTTTCTCCTCCCCTCCAGAGACCAATCAACCTGTCCTTGATCAGCTGATGCTGCCCCTCCCTTTCGAGGCGAGCACAGCCTCATTAGATGCTCTTTGTCGGTCCTCTAATCAAACCCTCATCACAGGATTTCTTTCCCTTCTCTTCTATGGATCCGTACATCATGTGTGTAGAACACGATTATTTGTGTGGACTAATATCATAAACTGACCTAAGAGATCTTTAGGATCTGTTGGATAAACAACGGCCTCCTTCTTTTCCTCCTTCCTTTGTTCTTCCTCTCCTTTTCTGGTGGAGGGGAAGAAATCACAGTAATGCTTTTGAGTTTAGGAATGTTTGGATGAAACAATCTCCAGTCACATTTAGAAGCTCTTCATTTTGACTTTTTAAGAAATGCTTCCTGTTGGAGCCCTTTAAGCCCCCCAAGTTAAAAGCCTTTTTAACCAGGAGCCCCTGGAATCCGTATTTTCGATGCTGCATCGACCCGGGTATTCGGGCTCCTCGCTCACACAGACCAACAGGGAAACGTTCCTCTGCTCTGTTCTGAAGAGCAGATCCTCTGGGCAGCGTGTTAACACCTGGTTAACACCTGGTAGGCCCTCGACCTCCTGCGTTGTTGCCAAGAACTCGTCTGCAGGCTCAACCCCCCCCCCCCCCCCCCATCAACTCATCTGGTGTCCAGATGACGCCGGTCAGTGAACGCCTCTCAAAGAACACCGTATATTCTCAGGTATTGAGTGGCTGTCCGTCTCAAAGTGATGCAGAGAGGATTTCTAAAGCAGGTTACGTAACCCCCGCATCCCCTCCATCACTGCTCCCCCGGGATCTTAAAGCTGGTTATCGATTTCCTCTTCCCATCGAATCACCGCTTCACGGCTTGATAAATTCGCCGGGTGTGACGGAGATGAAAGCTGAAACTCCCAAACCGCCGTGATGGACATAAACAAGCCCCACCTTCTGAGTGCTGCGCCTGTGTTGCTGCATCATTGCGCCGGATGGTTTTAGTCTCTAAAGAGCTTTGTGTCTGAAGGCGGCTGAATGGTGAATATTCGGGTTTTATATTAACTCACACTAACACCATGTTTCAGACACCTTCAAACCCCTCAGCTTCATTTCCTGTTTGTGTATCTATTTAAGTTGTTCTGAGCGTATTAAATGGATCATCCAAGTGAAGGGGGGGGGGGTGATCTACTCTCAGACGGTGATCTACAGAACGCCGTCACGCCGCCGCCTTGTTCTGCTCCCGCGGGGCTCTTCTCCGTCTGGACGGTGAACATCTGTCTCTACGGCAACGCCTCGACAGACAGATACCAGCATGTGATGTATGGTCACATGGTCCGTGGTGTCGACAACTCACGCTTAAAGAGCCCCGTCATCACTCCCGTCCACAGAGAGAACCCTCACAGGAGAGGCGTCTGAGGGGGTTTGAAGGGGGGGGTCTGGGGGTCTGGGGGTCCGGCTCTGTGAGGGCTGAGGACGTGTCGCTGTCAACTCTCTGAAAGCTCTGCTCAGAGGAACACCGGAGAGCCATCTGCTGCTTGTTGTCCTTCCGTGGCGCCACACACACACACACACACACACACAAAGACAACACAAACAACCAACGCCTGGAAGAGACACGCTAGCTCGTTACTTTGAATAATTCATATTTGTGCCAAATAACATCGATGAAAGAATTTTCCTTTCAGTGATCCGATAATCTAGTTCGAGACTTAGTCCGTCTCAGTCGACCTTCACGTCTTCTGCTGCCTGGAACAAAGCAGCATGAATCATCCATGTAGACGCACAGATGTTCTATCAATGTGCACCAGGCCTACCAAATAAACCAAATCAGTCTTTTAGGATTGAGAGTTTAGGATCGTCTTCTAATGATGTCACTTCCTGTTTCAGGGGCAGGAGGCCTCGGCGCCGGACGCGTTCCCTGTGGACCAGTACCAGAACTCGTGCTACCTGTTCTGGATCCTGGAGAAGCTGCTGCAGAGCTGTGAGGGACCCTGCAGGGTGGAGGTGTGTTCGGAGCTGACGGAGCTGCTGGAGCAGCGGATCTTCCTCCTCTCAAAAGAGTTCCCCTTGTTTAGCATCTGCTGGTGGAGGCTGAGATGCCTCCTCACCTCCTCGGACCCCAGCGGGTCACAACCCACACCAGAACCTAGAAGGTGACCTACAGAAACCCACACAGCGCTTACAAAAGTTGTTTGCTTCATTCCAGCATTAAATATTTCTCTATTTGATCAATGACAACGTGTGTTCTTTTTCACTGCAAGCGAGAACTTCTGAAAGAGTTTCATTCCCTCGATTGTGGAGATTAGTTGGGCGTTGAAGCTCAATTAGACAGATGATATTTTAATTAAAATGAGCCACAAACTCATTCAATACGACTACATAAATATTTATTGTTTAATGCATTATGGTTTATTCAGGATTCCAGTGGAACACGTCGCATCGTCACAGATTATCAAATGAAAGGAGCTCAACACATCACACGGACACTGGACTGACGCTCGGGAAGTGACCCGTTAGCCCGGTGCTGCTAACGCTGCTAACGATGCAGCAGCAACATGGTTAACTGCTGGTTAGTTGGTGGTTAACTGGGGGTTAATTGATGACGTGAGTACAGATCACAGGCCCTTTGAGGGGGCGGGTGGGGGGCGGCTTTACCCCGGCCTCTCGGATGGACTCCAGATGCTTGTTAGCGTTGATCGTTCTCCCTCCTCTTCCCCTGCTGCTTATTTGGTGTCTGTAATACAGACGAGGCTGAATAACACCCCCTCCCCCTTCACCACCACCTCACACTCGGTACGTCACAAATTACCAGAGGCCCGTGGGACCCCGGGGGCGGCGATAGCCATCACCACTGCTGTTGCGTTCCGCTTCGTGCTCCCCGCCCGACTCTGTCTGCCATCTCCTCATCTTTCATATCCTGTTGGGAGGATGGGGGACGTGGGGGGACGTGAGCTGGAGGCTGATGTGCCTCGGTGGGACTGACGAGACAAAGCGGCGGGTTGCATCATTGAGTCACCGGGAACATTTGGGTGAAGGAGGAGCAGTTTCACTGAAAAATGAACTATTAAATAAATACTCTTTAATACTATAAAATGTATTTATCTTTCTATGCAACACCAGAGCAGCACTAAAGTCATCCAGCAACAATCAGCATCCATATGAGCAGCAAGACCCTCGTTCCTCCGTGCTGGCGATGGCAGGGTGACCCACTGCAATGAAGCGAGCGCTCCCTGCGCCGTGTCACTCAAACGTAAGACATTAAATAACGTCTAAATGTGGTCAGAAGAAGAAAAGCTTTCTTTATTTTCATTGACAAAAAGAGCAGATAACATTATGGACTGTTAATAACACAGTAATTAAATGATTACATTGATTAAAAGTAGACCGTAAAATACTACAGTACAACATTTAGTATTTTTTATGGTTTAAAAAGTATCTGCATCTGTTAATATGGATCATCAAGAAAAGTTAAAAGTTTGATCACAGAGTATCGCTCTGTTTGTGGATCCGGTCCCTGACTCCCATGATGCTTTGCTGCGCTGCTCACTGTCACACGTGTGCGTTTATTTAAAATCAACCCCCCATCAGGACCGGATGATTTATGAACTCTGAAGCCTTAAATATATATAAATGATATAATAACACCTTGATTGATATGAAAATGGTTAATTTTTCCTGTTTCAAAGTGTGTGAACCGTCTAGAGAAATTATCTTTAGTCTGAATAGAAAAGGCTTGTTTACTATTTTCATGATTTAACAACAAGAAGAAACGTGGATCTTCCGCTCCACATTTTGCTGCTCGGTTCATCGTGTTTCTAGAAGTGAAAGATGGAAAGATAAGTGTTGTGTTTGATGTGGGGGGGGGGTTGCTTTAAAGGGACATTGGTCACGGGGGGGGTCTTTGACCTTGACTGATGTGAGAGCTAATTGAGCTCTGAAGCTTCTCTCTGTTCTACAATAATTTATTATGACAGCTGTTTCAGAAATCAGCTGTAACGGCTTCTAATTACTTCTATGGCCGCCGAGCAATTAGCCAATTAGAGCCCCCTAAAAAGGGGGGGGGCTCCTAACTGGTCCAGCAGATGGGAGGAAGCCTCATGAACGACCTCACATCACAAACCGAATGCTTGTTTTTGTGTGTTATGGATGCCAGACAATTCAAAAAGTTCAATAACTATTTTGTGAATTGTTTCTTCAAAAAGACCAACTAATATCCAATCCAATATTATTTTTATCTGCATTGGGGGTTTCAAAAGGCAACATTTGGTCCCCTGGATGTGGCGCACTTTTAGTGATCGGCGACTTTAAGGACTTCTTTCGACGTGCCGTTGCCATGACAACGCTGTCAGGCCAGCCTGGTTGTGCAAAATGCAAATCAAGGTCATTCATCTCAATTTAATTTATTAATTCTCAGCGTATGGCGTCTATCGATCTCAATGAACAACGCTTATTTAAGCCTTTCCACTGAGGGATCACATGACTGGTCCCTAGTTCATGGGCGCAGGACTCTTCCAATGGTGGAGTCAAAGATTTACTCCACGCTAAGCCCCGCCCCTTGGTTACTGTTGCCAGGACGCAGGCGTTTGCAAAGAGTCTGGTTGTGGGTTGGATCCCATTCGTTGCAGAGCGTCTCACTTAGCAGTGACGGAGGATGATGTTTTTATTCATATATTGATCCTCACAGGAAGCAGTTTGTCAATCAATCAACCCAGAGTAAGAAAATCGTGTTTAATGCCTAAAATATAAAGGTACAAAATGGAGTGATGACGTTGTGATATCGGATTGGATTACGTGTGGTCTCCTGGAGCTCCGTGGGGGGGCGAGACGTCTGTAAGGGTCGTTGTGCAAGTTTCATTCTGCGTTCTTTGTCTGGAAGTGGAGATCCGGGCTGAAACGCCTCAGTGGTGCTGCACCAACACCTCCAGTGAGAAGGCCGCAGGTGTGTGTGGCCGTAGTGTGCCCCCCCCCCCCCTACAGATCCAGTGCAGCATAACTGATGAACTCAACCCGCCACACGCTGCCTCGGTCACATGACCCCGGCGGGCTGGGACCCAAACGAGAGGAGTGCGTTTCATGAAAACAATAATGTGTAGTGCAGAAACGACCAGTTTATATCAGGAAACATTTATTGCCAAAATATGTCAAACATACAAGGAATTGTTTGTGTGATTTACTCTACCAGGGTCCCTTCTGCACCGTTATGGTATTTTTTGGTGTTAATCTTCTCTGTAGCTTTTACATTATTATTATTATTAAAAGAACATGATGTCGCACTCTATCGCCCGAAGTTGGCTGGGATGGACTCCAGCCCCCCCGCGTGCAGGATAAGCGGTTTGACAATGGATGGATGGATGATGTCGCACTCATTGACAGTTTGAAGTGACGCCTGATCAACCGATCGCTCTGTGATGATGCGTTGATCCTGTGGAGGACTGCCTGATTGATTGGCTCGTCGGCATTGATCTTAATGTCGGATCAATCGACAGCTGCAACACAACATTATCGGGAGTTGAATTTGTTCCACATTTCTCCCCCAGAATCATTGATCCTTGTATTTGCTTAGTGCTGAATATATACGCTGTATATGAGACGTGTGCGTCGTCCTGCTGACGTCCCCCGTTGGTTTGTGGACTGATGTTTTGAAGCCTCCAGTTCTGCTTTTTTGGCCGTTGCCAGCTAGCTTTTTTACATCTAGTCAACGGAAAGTGACCATATAAGGAGTCAGAGGACGTAGAGACGCCACATACGACTCCGGTACAGACCTGTCAATCAGAGCATCCCCTGCTTCATGGTCTGTTTGACTCTAAATGGACCTTAATGTACTAAATTAACATCATACTGTATTGAAGAAGACTTGAATCAGAGATTGAGACCATAAACTCATGTTTACAATGTTTTCTGAGGGAATAAATCAAGAGAGAAGTAGACTAATTTCCTCATAGACTTCTATCGTAGCAGAGGAGTCGCCCCCTGCTGGTCACTACAGAGAATGCAGCTTTAACTCACAACGCTTTACGTCCTGGTTTGAACTAGTTCTGTATGTTTCTCCAGATGTTCTTGAACCCTGCGTTCACTTCCTCAAACGATGAAATTCACACTTGTTGTTTTCAATTGCTAACAAGCATTGTTCAAAACTCAAACCACAGTTCCAAAACTCTTCACACATTCAGCGACACACAAGTGTATATGGACCAAACTGTAAATATGTTTTTATTGCTTTTAGACAAAATGCATCAATCGCCACATTTTTCAATGAAATAATGTTTGTGTGAAAATTCACTCAAACTTCAAATAAAAGTTAATAATGGATGTAATGTTCTTAGTGTTTTTAGGTCAGTGTGTTCTGAGTGACCTGCGTGTTTTCTGAATGAGAATCTGATCGGTGGTGATCTGAACAAGCTGGTTTTGAGACATTCGTGAAGTGTTCTGTTGGTCTCAGTGAGTGTTGGAGGTTTTGCAGATGAACTGTTGGGCGAAATTAATCTTGGTAATGAGAATGTGTGAAGAGTTTTCAAAGTGTGGTTTCAGTGTTGAACGCTTGTTAGCAATTGAAAAAAAACTGTAAACCAGGTCTGATTTGATCTATTTGTGCTTCCTGTGCTTCTAATCGGGGCTGGGGGGGCAGGGATGGATTGATAAGCTGTTAGAGATCCCGCTGTGTACCTCTGGTGGTGTCGGGCCGTGACCCCCCCAGCACCACTTACGTACACAACTCCGTCTTTGTGCTCTGTAATCAAAGTGATTTGGATTCTGGCCCCGCCCCCACCCTTCCCCTATAATTATATTTGATCTATAATTTTATTTTAAGTGCAGGGTTATTAATCATGTCACGCCTGGAGTGCCCCGGGCCCCCGAGCATGCTGGGAGATGTTTCCTCTCATAAGCAGAAGGCTGCAGTTTGTTATCGAGTCATCAGAAAGAGAAAAAGCGGTTTGTTCTGAAGGAAGATGGGATCTTCACAATCAACACATCTGCAGGAGGACAATGTGGAGGGGAAGTTGTTTGTTCGTCTCTAAAGTCGTCCACCTTCTGGAGTTTTCTTTTTTCTTGTTGTTGTGGCGATAACAGAATAGCTCAGCGTCGTCGACCTCGACTCCACGACGTCTACTTTTACGCGTCGCTCAACGTGTGAAGGTACGAGGCTTTTCTGGAGATTCTTTCATACAGATAAAAACCTGAATGGGATGACAAAAGGTTAGTAAAGGCTCAAAAGTGCTGAAGTGGAGGAACAAAATCAAAGACCACAGGTTTGTTCCTTCAAAAAAGGAATGTTGAATGTTTGTATCGACAAACGTCGAGTTCTCATTCATGTTGAATGAGAACTCCCTCTGCTGACCGGCAGGAACATCTCATTGGACCTCCTCATTGGACCTCCTCAAAGTCACGGACAGTGCTGCATCCGCCCGATGAGTCCTTGAGGACGGCCGTGACCTCTGACCCCTCCTCCACAGCAAGGCCCCCCCATTGTGGACTTCAGAGAGGGCGTCGTCATCTCGGCGCTGTGAGGAGGACTTCCATCGGTCATCAGAAGCCCTCGTCAGCTGCTGACTCAGCGCTCCTATATATATATATATATATAGGTTGATATATGTACATTAGCCTAATTCTTTGTAACTGGTTAGTCTAAATATCTTAAGACAGAAGTGATTGACAGGCCATAAAGCAGGGGATGCTTTAGGGTGGGATGCTGATTGACAGGTCTCTGACAGGCCATGTCTAACAGATATCGTTAGATCGCCACATGATGTGATCTACCAGCTGGAAGAACAATAAATTAAGTCTTAAACCCCCTAAAACATGAATATGTGCGTGAAAGCTTGCCGGTGAGGTTAAAGTTTGATTCTGTTTTAAGATGATAATAATAATCATTTACTCTTAAGTTCATATTTTATCACAAACACAACATTTAAAATAAGAGGCTGAGGGTCTGATGCCATCTATTGGTGAGATAGAGGACTACGACACCGTTGGGCTAAAATCGACATGATTTGCTGCAGTTTCTTAGGAATATATGTGTGTATGTATGTACATATGTGTGTGTGTGTATATATGTACATATATATATATATGTACATATATATATATATGTACATATATATATATATATATATATATATATATATATATATATATATATATATATATATATATATGGGGATGTATGTATGTGTGTATGTATAAATGTATGTGTGTATATGTATATATTCACTTAGAACATTATTGAAATATTTACATTACATTTAAAGCTGGGCGGCACGGTGGCGTGGTGGTTTGCACTGTTGCCTCACAGCAAGAAGGTCCTGGGTTCGATTCCGCCCGGTGGCCTTTCTGTGTGGAGTCTGCATGTTCTCCCCGTGTCTGCGTGGGTTCTCTCCGGGTTCTCCGGCTTCCTCCCACAGTCCAAAGACATGCTCTGGGATATCAGGTTAATTGGATCAGGCCCGTAGATGTGTGAATGTGAGTGTGAATGGTTGTATGTCTCTGTGTAGCCCTGCGATTGGCTGGCGACCAATCCAGGGTGTACCCTGTCTATCGCCCGAAGTTTGCTGGGATGGACTCCAGCCCCCCCGCAACCCTGTGTGCAGGATAAGCGGTTTGACAATGGATGGATGGACATTTAAAGCTGGACCGAGATCTCTGAGAAAATCTGTTACCCTTTGTGAGCAATAGTTTATTTGTGTGAAACGCAGTTCACATGTTTGTCCCGGGGGGACAAAGTACTTCAAAATATGATGGCTGAATAGATGATGGATGGGTAGATGAGGGATGGATGAATAGATGATGGATGGGTAGATGGTGGATGGATGAATAGATCATGGATGATGAATGAATGAAATGAAAAAGTCCTCAAAGAAGAGAAGAAGAAGAAGAAGAGTCTTGTTTTTAAACTGATGTTTAGTTTCCTTCTGTCAGGAAAACGGAAACGAAAACCGTCCTCAGTGACGTCATCGCAGCGACACGTATTTCCGTTGTATTTTAAAACGTGTTGAAAATAAGGGGGGGCGTCAGTGTGCGCGCGCGTGGGTGTGTCCTTTATCATAAAGAGTTGAGCAACTGTTCTGCTCCTCACAAACTAAGACACCGAATCATCTTCAGCGTCTTTCGTTCTTCATGAAACCTGCAGAACAAAATGTACTTTATGGATCATTAAAGAAGCAACGCGAATCGTGTGCTTCTCACTTCAGCGTTAAAAAGCTGCTATAAATAAACCAAACTGTACCCGGGCTGCTGTTTAGAGGTTAATATTTGAGAATATACGAGATATGGGCGGATCATAAGGTCCTCCTCCTCCTCCTCCTCCTCCTAGCGGGACGCCTTTCACGAGCAAGAGGACCGGATAACTGCTCCAGAGAACCGCTTCAGAGGACCTCCTCTAGAGACCTCCTCCGTAGAACCGCTTTAGAGGACCTCCTCTAGAGACCCGCTTCAGAGAACTCCTCTAGAGACCTCCTTCGGAGACCCGCTTCAGAGAACTCCCCAGAGACCCGTTCAGAGGACCTCCTCTAGAGACCTCCTCTAGAGACCTCCTCCGCAGACCTCCTCTTGAGTCTTTACGCGCTGTGGACTGATGGAATCGGCGCGCCCGCAGCCACGGCTCCTCCACCTCCTCCTGCTCCTGGGCTCCTGCGTGTCCCCCTCGGCAGCCTGGGAACTGGTTCTACTGCACACCAACGACGTGCACGCCCGGGTGGAGGAGACCAGCGTGCACTCTGGGAAGTGCGGCGGCGGCGCGTGTTTCGGCGGCGTCGCGCGGAGATCCTCCGCGATCCAGACAGTGCGCGCGAAGGAGAGGCACGTGCTGCTGCTGGACGCGGGGGACCAGTTCCAGGGGACCGTGTGGTTCAACTACTACAAGGGGGCCGAGGCGGCTCACTTCATGAACAACCTCAACTACGACGCCATGGTGAGACACGCGCTCGCGCGCCCGCGCCCACGCACACCAGGAGTTGACGGTCAACAACAGCTTCAGTTTTGAAAACAGAAAGCACCACGTGGTATAAATACTCACCAGCTTGAGTCCGAAAATCTACATTTTCAAGTAAAAGAAGATTTTTCAAACCAAATGTGCTCAAAGTCCTCAGTATTGTTCTCATCGTTGTGCTGAAGTATTGTAGATACGCTTAAATGCTATTATTTTAATCACATGCTTATAACTATATTCCTAATCTATCTGCAGATGTTAGATAGTTGATGAGATTGGGGGTCGGGGCAGACTATTTTTACCCTTAGATGCACAAGTGGGTCAAAAATGACCCGATGAGGTTGTTTTCTTGAAATATCTTCGTAATGAAAAATTGTTATCATTTCATATTCCAGGTATTCCTCCAAAAACATGTTTTTGATATAATTCCATTTACATTTTTAACTTACCTGTTATACATTTTAAGAAATTGTAGTTTTTGTATTACTACCCCAAGCTTCCATAATTGGGCCAAAAATGACCCGCATGCATTTTCTATGGAATCCAATGGGAACCTTTGATTCTTATCAACTGTGGCTGTCAGGAATACATTTGACTGTGGACCACACAGACTATATCAGAAGTGTGACCCCTCAGGAAGATTGTTTTCGAACAGCTTGTGCCATTCAGGGGTAGGTGCAAGTTTCTATAGTACATGCCAAGCAAGCCCACCAAATACGGCCTAAAGATCTTCTGGGTTTGTGATGCACGCATCCCCTATGCAATAGATGGTATAGTTTACACGGGGAGACAACCAGGGGAAGAAGTTCAGAAGAATCTGGGGGAAAACATTGTCCAGCAGTTGTGTAGTAGATTTAGAAACACAGGTCGCAACATCACCATGGATAACCTTTTCACCAGTGTGCCTCTTGCGCAGCATCTCCTGGAGAAGGATCCCACTATTGTGGGGACTCTACGTCAGAACAAGCCAGACATCCCTCCTCTGATGAAGGCTTCCAAGTCCAGGGAGGTTCACAGCACAGAGTTTGGATTCAACGACAGCCATGGTCAGCTTTGTCAGAAAGAAAGGAAAAGCGGTTGTGCTCCTAAGCACGATGCACCACGACAAAGAAGTGGATGAAAATAGCTGAAAGAAAAAAACAGAAGTGATCACATATTACAACAAGACGAAAGGAGGTGTAGACACCACTGACCAGATGGTTGGCACCGAGAAACACAGAGGTGGCCCATGGTGCTGTGGTACAACATAATTGACATCGCCACCCTGAATGCCTACACCTTTTTCACGGCTCAGCACCCAGAATTCAATGCACGACGGCTCTTCCTCAAAGAGCTCTCAAAGGAGCTTGTCACACCACACATGAGGAGTCGACTGGAAGGCTGCCCCCAACTGCAAACCCAATTCTTGAAGCAATGGAAAGGTGTGGGGTGACAAAAGCCACAACCCAGCCACAGGACGGAAGCAGACAGGGCCAACCAAAGAGAAAGAGGTGTCAGATCTGCCCAATTAACAAAGATCGCAAAGTCAACAATAGGTGTGGGAAATGCAATGTACCTGTGTGCAATGATCACAGCCAGAAACAGGTAGTTTGTCTGAACTGCATTCAGTGATGAGACTTCACTGAATGCAGTTCAGACATGGAATCATTCTTCTGTGGTCCTAAATATAATACTAAATATTCTATTAGTGATTATTCTTAACCAAAATGACAAAAAATGGCATAAAAACACACAGATTCTAATATGGGTCATTTTTGACCCACTTATGGAAGAGTGTAGGGTCCAGTCACTCGTGCATCTAAGGGTTAAGTAAGTAAAAATTACCCAGTTTACTACATTTTATTTCATAAAAGTAAAACTTTGTTATTGTTTTAGTGTTTGACTCTGAATTGTTTCTTATTTTTTTCTTTGTTTTGATGCTCTTAACGTAACGCAGTTGAATTGTCTCTAGTGGACACCATCGAAGATGGCGGCCTCGGCGTGTCGGTGTGCATTATTTGTGTTGTTTTTCTGTTTCGTGCTGCGCTGCTCTGAGATCTTCCACCAGAGACGAGTTCATGTGGGGACAGCAGAGACTTTTCCACAGCTGCTGCAGCGACGTGTCTGTGATCCTCCAGCACTGTTCTCATCTGGAACCCTTCTACTGTGAACCCTTCAAGCTTGCCTCATTCATCCTGGTCCGTGTCTACATTCCTCGCACAGCGGACGTCCTTGAGGAAAGGAAACCTCAGCCATGAACTCCCCAAATACAAACAGTTAAATGCTCCTCCAGGGAGGAGAACACTGGACCATCTCCACAGAAAGCAGGTCCTGTCACGCGTCCGTCGTGCTGCACCGGGACGCGTCATGGTCCATCTGACCTGTGAGGCTGAGGAGGACCTCCAGGCGTCTCTGCACTCAGTGCACACAGTGTCCCATCATGCACCAGGGTGAGTCACAGCGACGACACGCTGCATCACAGGACCTCATGACTACATATCCTGTTTGTCGACTTCAGCTCTGCCTTCAACACCATCACCCCGTCTGCTGCAGGACAAACTCTCTCAGCTGCACGTGCTCGTCTCCACCTGCAAGTGGATTACAGACTGACAGGAAGCAGCATGTGAGGTCGCCCCTGTTGAGAGAGACAAATAACTACAGCTGAATGTTTAAAGCCAAAGCGGATACTTTATTTTAACCCAAGGAGTATTGTGTCCTGCAGTTAAACGTGCACGGCCCTAGCATTCACTGGAAGGTTCAGCGGAATGAAAGGCGCTTCAACAGAGTGCGCAACAAAGTTTTATAGTCGTTAAGGGCATTTGTGATTGATCAGACAGCTGTTGGAGGGGGCTCTTCCAGAGGCCCTCATTGGAGCACAAGGCGGTCCCGCCCTCTTGGCTCACGTTCATCACGCCTCCATTGTTCATGAGTTCTTCGTGTCAGGATGTTTGCAAGATGATTTGCACATGAACGATCGGCGTAGTTCTAGGTATGGACATGACAGGTGGTTCCTGTTGAATTGCATTTGACCCAGATAGTGCTGCATCTTTTTGCAACATGTTTGTGTGCTGGTGGTGTGACTTGAAATACATGTTCGTGCAATCCGGCCTTTAAGCGGCCTTTACCCATTATTACTATGCATTTATTGTTCAAGTGTAATTTCATTCTAGCGTAAGCGTGCATGTGTATATTTTATTTTAGTTTAGAGAAGCGTGTCTTTCACAGTCTTTGTGGTTAGATGTTTTCCACCGAGGCGTCTCTCTGCCGCCCCGCCCACAGGTCACATGACCAGACTGTGGTTTCCATCATCTTCTCTTCCGGAACACTGGTAGGAAAGGGCGGGGAAGGGGGGAAGATGGGGGGGGGGGGTTCTACTAAAACATTAACCCCCAAGAGACCAGGCAAGTCACGTTGGACTCCCCTGCTTTTTAAAGATTCCGGATGTCTTCTAGAACCTTGGCGGAGTCCAAAGTTTCCTGAACCCTTCACTTCGCAACAACCTGGACGGGTTTCCACAGAGAGCCTGTTGTGTGTTTGAGGGATTTGATTGGAAGCTGCATGAAGTTCTTCTGTTTTTTGTCTCTCAGGTGTTTGGGAACCACGAGTTTGACAACCGGGGTGGAGGCCCTCATGGCGCCCTTCATGAAGCAGATCAAGTGCCCCCTCCTCAGCGCCAACATCAGAGCAACCGGCGCTCTGGCCTCCACCTTCGGCATCTCCTTCCTACCCTACAAGATCCTGACTGTGGGCGGGGAGAAGGTGGGCGTGGTGGGATACACGTCGAAGGAAACGCCCCACCTCTCCCAACCAGGTGGGCGGGTCACCTGAATGCCCCACCTGTCTCTCTCTTTAATAAATGCTAAATGTCCTGATTAATACTTAATCCCCCCCCCCCCGCTCAGGACCTGACGTGCTCTTTGAGGACGAGGTGAGCGCTCTGCAGCGTCAGGTGGACAAGCTGCTCGCGCTGGGAGTCCAGAAGGTCGTCGCTCTGGGACACTCGGGCTTCACCGTGGACCAGCAGGTGGCCCGTGAGGTCCGCGGGGTGGACGTGGTGATCGGGGGGCACAGCAACACCTTCCTGTACAGCGGTAGGGAGCACATCTGTCACACATCTGTCGCACATGCTCACTAATCAATAAATAAACCCTTTGGTTTATTGTTTAAAAGAACACTAAAATATGTTTAGGAAAAAAAGAAATTGAATGTAGTGCAGAAATAAATACACATGAAAAAGGTGTGCAGTTAGATCTTTGTTCATGTGGAGCTTCTGTTAATGAGCTCAGCGTGTGTCATGTGACTCTGTGATTATGCAACTAAACAACCCGTAATAACCTCTGAGCTACAACTGCAGCCATTATACAGCTGTGGCTCTGCAGGAATGTTTCCCTGCTGAGGAGAGACCGCAGAAAGCTCCTCAAGCCACAGCGCTCAAGTCCTCCTGTGAACGTCGGATTCTAGAGTCACTTAAACAAACGTGAAGGAGGAGAAACACCAGAGGGCCAATTTAATTCTCCGCAGTTCCTCCACCTCCTTCGTCAAGTCCTTTGCCTTATACGGCATGCTAATAGACATGCTAACAGGCATGCTAATGATGTGTGAAGTACACTAATAAGAGCCAACACACATTTAAACATTCAGCTTCTCCATTGGTAAGAAGATAACCAAGCTTCCTGTTTCTTCACAATAAAAGCTCACATTTCCTGATCACCATCATCACATGTGCACTCACATGCATGTTGTTAGCATGCACGATTATGATCACATTAATACCTGCAGCCGGCCGCATACCACCTTTTAACAACATCACATTTAAAGAGATCAGACCCGGGGGGGTCGAGCCCCCGAGGAGGAAACCCACCTCATTTACAGCAGAAATGAAGCAAGTGAGAAACGTGCTGATCCAGAAGAAATAAGAGAACATTTCAGAGCAAAAAGGTTTCACTGCAGAAGAATAGAGATGGAACATTTATTTGCCAAAATATGTCAAACATACAAGGAATTTGTCTTGGCGGTTAGTGCGCGACAGTAGACAGACAAGACAACAGTGCACAAGTAATAAAATAAAGTAGAATGAAATGCTAATGCAATGGGTTAGTAGAATAAGGCTAAGGCTATGGGTTAGTATAAAACAAGGGAATAAAGTTAAAAATTTAAAATATTAAAAAGTTAAAAAGAAAAATATTAAGCATAAAGTGCACTAATGAACAAGTAACAAAGTGACGAGTGACGACAAAGTGATGAATTGCAGTTAAAGTGGCATGTCCAATGAGATCAGTCCAATGAGGGTGGTGTCATCCGCAAACTTCAGGAGCTTGACGGACTGATGACTGGAGGTGCAGCTGTTGGTGTACAGGGAGAAGAGCAGAGGGGAAAGAACGCAGCCTTTGGCACCTAATGGGCTGGGGGAAGGAGGGGAGGGGGACTGCAGCAGGTTGGCAGAGCTGTGGGGGATGGGATCAGGACATTTTCTTTCAAATCTGCAGTAGAACTCATTCAGCTCGTCTGCCAGGCGGAGGTCATTCATGGAGTGGGGGGTTTTTGGCTTGTAGTTGGTGAGGTGTTTGAGGCCTCTCCAAACCGAAGAAGAGTCACTTGCTGAGAACTGTTGTTGGAGTTTCTGGAAGCTCCAAAGAGGACTTCAGCCTGGGTTGGGGCCCCTCCTGTGACCCCCCCCCAGGAATGGAGATCAGATCTGTGCAATGTGTCAACAGGAAGTGGAACTCCACCCAGATCCTTGGCAGACCAGATCACACTGAGATACATTATATGTGTATATATATACAGTTGTGGTCAAAAGCACACACTTGTAAAGAGCATAATGTCATGGCTCTCTTGAGTTTCCAGTTATTTCTGCAACTCTGATTTTTCTCTGTTAGTGATTGGAACAGATACTTCTTTGTCACAAAAAACATTCATGAAGTTTGGTTCTTTTATGACTTAATTATGGGTTAACAGAAAGGGTGACAACATATGCTGGGTCAAAAATATACATACAGCAACATGAATTAGCAATTTCGGTGACTTAGAAAGTTGTGCCAGTGAAATGAGCTTCATGGCCTCTTAACGTCTTTTGAGTGATTCTGAGTGACTGCAGCTGGTGACTCCTCTGAGGCCATTTAAATTGGGCTCATTGGATACAAACTGTTGGGGGAGAATTGGTTGAGCTGCAAATTGGTAATGTCTCAAGAACTCTGGGTGTGACCTTTCTTGGAAAACTCGTGACCTGACGATTACACAAGGGCATCCTGTTCTTGAAGATAGGTGCCTTGACTGATCCAAATCATGTTTTCCTCGGTCTGTCTTATATGATTAACTGGGCCCCATTTAGGGAGGATCACAGACGTGTTTACACCTAATCTTCCTTTTGCAGGGGGGGCAGAGGGGTCTTCTGTTTTCTTTGACACGAACCTGTTAGAGGTGTATAAAAGCTCCTCATCTCCCCCAGAAAGTTGGTCAGATCTTCTAGCTCCTCTGAGGGAGAGAGAACCATCTGCCCCTTTTCAGCTGAATTGTAGTCATTTGACTTCTGTCTGTACTTACGGCTTGTGTTGATGATTTTGGTTTTCTTATGATTCTTCTATATTCTAGTTAGTAATAAATACTTAATCACAAAGCAAGTTCAAGATACTTTTGATTTCTCACAAGGGCTTAATCCACAAATTTCCACCACACAAACGCTACAATGGGAACGTCAAAGGAGCTTAGCATGGATCTGAAAAAGCGAATCATTGTCTTAAATAAGTCAACAAAGTCACCTGGAGCCATTTTAAAGCAGCTGCAGGTCCCATTGCACTGTTTTGTCACTGCCACCATCAGGAAGAAAACGCAACCTATCACCTGCTGCTGAGAGAAAACAGGTCAGGAGGGTGAAGAGTCAACCGGGAACCACCAAAAAGCAGATCTGCCAAGAATCAGAAGCTGCTGGAATACCGGTGTCCATGTCCACTAGTCAAGCGTGTTTTGCTCAGAGGCTGCCGTGCAAGAAGGAAGCCCTTGCTCCAAAAGCGGCACCTTAAGGCTCCAGTTTGACTGAAGTTTGCTGCTGATCACGTGGACAAATGAGACCTTCTGTAGGAAAGTTCTGTGGTCAGACGAAACAAAAATTGAGCTGTTTGGCCACAATTCCCAGCAATATATTTAGAGGAGAAAAAGTCCCTGGAGGACTTGTTCGCTTCCAGGTCTCTGAAGCGAGCTAAAAAGATCGCGGCCGACCCCTCCCACCCCGGACATAAACTGTTTGTGCCCCTTCCATCTGGCAGGAGGCTGAGGTCCATCAGGACTACGACCTCCCGCCACACGAACAGTTTCTTCCCGTCGGCAGTCGGGCTCATCAACAGAGCCGGTCCCCCACTGCCTGACTATAACACTCCACCGGTCACTCCCCCTCACACTGCACATGCCACTTTAACTGCAATTCATCACTTTGTCACTTGTCACTTTGTCTCTTGTCTGTTACTTGTTTGTTAGTGCACTTTATGCTTAATACTTTTCTTTTTAACTTTTTAATATTTAAAATTTGTTTAACTTTATTCCCTTGTTTTTTTACTAACCCATAGCCTTAGCCTTATTCTTACTAACCCATTGCATTAGCATTTCATTCCACTTTATTTTATTACCTGTGCACTGTTGTCTTGTCTGTCTACTGTCGCGCACTAACCGCCAAGACAAATTCCTTGTATGTTTGACATATTTTGGCCAATAAATGTTTCCTGATTCCTGATTCCTGATTCCTGAAAAGGTGAGGCCTTTTACCCCAAGAACACCGTGTCTACCGTCAAGCACGGTGTGGTAGTATTATGCTGCGGGGTTGTTTTGCTGCCAATGGAACTGGTGCTTTACAGAGAGTGAATGGGATAATAGAGAAGGATTACCTGAAAAGATAGATAACCTGAAATTTGGGCCTGGGGCGCAGTTGGGTGTTCCAACAGGACAATGACGCCAAACACACCTAAAAAGTGGTAATAGAATGGCTAAATCAGGCTAGAATTTGGGTTTTAGAATGGCCTTCCCAAAGTCCTGACTTAAATCCCATTGAGAACATGTGGACAATGCTGAAGAAACAAGTCCATGTCAGAAAGCCATCAAATTTAACTGAACTGCACCAATTCTGTCAAGAGGAGTGGTCAAAGATTCAACGAGAAGCTTGTGGATGGCCACCAAAAGCGCCTAATTGAAGTGAAAATGGCCAAGGGACATGTAACCAAATATTAGCACTGCTGTATGTATATTTGACCCAGCAGATTTGATCACTTTTTCTGTTAACCCATAATAGTCATAAAAAAACAAACCATGTTTTTTGTGACAAAGAAATGTCTGTTCCAATCACTCCATCAGAGAAAAATACTACAAGACTTGTAGAAATAACTGGAAACTCAGGAGAGCCATGACATTATGTTCTTTACAAGTGTATGTAAGCTTTTGACCACAACTGTGTGCGTGTGTGTGTGTATATATGTACATACATATAACATGGAACTGGTTTGATGAGGAATAAAACAGCTCAACAGTGTTATGTGAAATGATAGTTGTGATAAAAGAGAATCTTCTAAAGTCTAACTGAGCTGGTTTAGTTTAATCCAGTTCTACTCCGGTTTAGTGAATGTCTCGTCTTCTTGTATCCGTTCTGGTCTCCAGGCCCCGCCCCCTCCTCCGAGGTCCCTGCAGGTCCGTATCCCTTCATGGTGCAGTCGGCCGACGGCCGGCAGGTCCCTGTGGTGCAGGCCTACGCCTACGGGAAGTACCTGGGCTACCTGAAGGTGACCTTCGACAAGGAGGGGAACGTCCTGAAGTCCACGGGGAACCCCATTCTGCTGGACAGCAGCGTCCCGCAGGGTAAAACGGACGTCAGCGGGTCTTCTCCTGGCCTCCGTGTCAACACAGCAGGCCTCTCTAACACCTGTCTCCATGTCCAGATCCAATTGTTCTGGCCGACGTGGAGGAGTGGAAGAAGAAACTGGCCAACTACTCGGCCCAGGTGTTGGGAAGCACGCTGGTCTTCCTGAACGGGTCCGACAAGGAGTGTCGGTTTCGGGAATGCAACCTAGGGAACCTGATCTGTGACGCCATGGTGAGGGTTTAACCAGGAAGCCGAAATGTGACTTTAGTCCCAAAGCTAAACTATGGACCACACCCCCCAGGTGGACAACAGCCTCAGGGGGTCCAACATGACCCAGTGGAACCACGTCAGCGCCAGCATCTTCAACGGAGGAGGCGTCCGCACGTCCATCGACGAGCGCTCCAGGAACGGTTCGTCCCCCCTTTTGTTTGAGGGAGTTTTATCAGAGGATCATAAATCATCGGCCCCTGTGTTATCATGGGAACCGCTATCAGGCCGGGGGTCCGACCACTAAGATGTCTGCATCTTCATTCGGCAATATTAATGAAACCCCCTTTCTAAATGACAGTGCGTCGTTCTGTCAGAAGGACTTGATCAATCGGTTTGCGGTCCGCAGGTTCAATCACCGCGGAGGACCTGATCTCCGTGTTGCCCTTCGGGGGAACCTTCGACCTGGTGCAGCTGAAAGGCTCCACGCTGCTCCGAGCCTTCGAGCACTCGGTGAAGCGATACGGAGAAAACACTGGGGAGTTCCTGCAGGTCTCTGGTGCGTACATCCACCCCGCACCCACTATTCATATGTTGCTAAGCAGTTTGAATAATAGTGGTAAACTTTTAAAATATTTTACTGACCTATATATGTAGTTCTTTTGTTGTGAAAGTAGTGCTGATGGAAAGAACTTGACGTCTTTGTTCAGATGAGCCAAGAATCTCCAGTGTGTTAAAGCTGCATTCTCTGTAGTGACCAGCAGGGGTCCCATAGACGTCTATGAGAAAATGATTACTTTTCTCTTGATTTATTCCCTCAGTAAACATTGTAAACAGTTTAGTCTCAGTCTCTAGCTTCAAGTCTTCTTCAAAACAGCATGATGCTCATTTAGTACCTTATGGTCCATTTAGAGTCAAACAGACTGTTACGTTTCCCTTTTTAAGTGGAAACAATAACGCTGACAACAAATGAAGAAAGAACTCAGGACAATGTAAGGCAGTTAAAGAAAATAGATTTATTTAAATCAAAAAGTAACCAACAGATGTAGGTTACAAAAAGTTGTAGGAAAATAGTGTTCTCCATCTCTGATTGGCTGAAATGGCCGGAGTGTGAGCCAATCCACAGGGTGCTCTGGAGGCAGGTCCAGACAATCCTCCCACCTGCAGGACAAAGGGAGGAGAGAGCCAGAGAGACACACATGCAAACATCTCTCTGCATGTAACACAGACCATAAAGCAGGGGATGCTTTAGGGCGGGGCTCCACGCTGATTGACAGGTCTCAGAGGTCTGGCCTTCAGTGCGTTACAGACGGCGACGTGTCCGTGTGTCCCGACAGGGTTCCGCGTGGAGTTCGACCTCTCCCGCCCGGCGGACCACCGCGTGAAAAGCCTCGCCGTGCTCTGCACGCGCTGCCGGGTCCCTCTCTACCAGCCTGTCCGGGGGGAGGAGGTCTACATGGTGGTGCTGCCGTCCTACATGGTGACGGGCGGAGACGGGTTCTCCATGATCGCCGAGGAGATGCTGAAGCACGACAGCGGTGAGACGGACGTTTTGGTTTTGGTGAACGTGTAAAAAAAACAATAAAAGCATCATTTGTTTGATGCTTTCTCCTTTTCTTCGGTTTCCTTCCAGGGAGTTTGGACCTTTCGGTCGTGTCCGACTACATCACACGGAAACAAAAGGTTTATCCCGCCGTCGAGGGACGCGTCAAGATCTACAACTCTGCCTCTGGACCGCCCGCCCCGCTGGTCGCACTGGTTCTAGTGGTGCTGCTGTGGACCGTGTGTTGGACCATGTGAGGCAGGAAGAACCTACGGGACCGGTTCTTCTTATTCTAACACACCCAACATCCGTTCCTTAAAATACATTTATTTTCGTTTAGTTATTTTCAACAACGGTGGGACGAGTTTGGACCAAAAGAGCAACTGTGTTTTCACACCAGACGAGAGGAAGTGATTCATAGTGTTTTTAACCGCAGACTGAAAATAAAAGTGAATCACAGACTGTCCACGGTGACGTAGCTCCAACCCCCCCGATCCTTCTCCAGGGTCCGGCTGCATGTTGATGAGCTCGTTGTTAGTCAAACCACCGCGCAGGGTTGCCATGGAAACCGTTCAACGACAGCTTTGATTCACCATCTTATCTTAAGCGATATGGGCGTTCCAGTTTGAAAGACTTTTCCTGAGAAACCACATTGAAGTCACGTGTTCAACTCCCGCTGCAAAGGGAACAAGTCATTTGTATTTAAAGGAATTTAAATGCCTTTTTTATGGCATATTTGCACTTATTTTACATTTATGACCAACTGCTTTTTTTACTCTTTCAAAATTATTTTTGATCCTTTTTAATATAATTTCCTTCTAAATAGTATTTACTCATTTCATAAACAATCGTATGTGAAGTCTAGAATGTCAAGTATTCTGCCTCATACTATCAAATGTTTGAGTTTGTAAAATAAAAGTATTGATATTGAATTAATGTCCCTGTTAGTGAACAAACAATAAATATATATCTCTTTATTTGCGCTTTCCTTTACATTGGAATGTTAATAGTGATTATTGCACTTCTGGCATCCAGATGTGGATCCTCGTCACACGGCGACGTCCTTCGCTCCCTGAAGAGGAAACGCAACATAAAGCCACAGGTGCATCATAACGACGAGATCTGTGCTAAGTTCAAGCTATATTTAAACGTTAATGATCTTGTTTATTTTGGGGATTTGATTCGGTTCTTGTGCAGAAATAATAACAGAAACTAACTGTTAATGCCCGAATGCTGTCGTTTCACAATAAAAGCCTCTCGTTTACCTGACTGAGCTCAGGGAAGAGCTCCTGCACGGCGATGTCCAGCAGGACGTACGTCATCTGAGGAGACAAAGACACCGGCAGCTGTTAGCGCACACTCGTCCAACAACAGGTAGCTGCTCGGCTTCACTTCCTGTGTAGACTGATCCCACCGTGTGACGTCATGAGCTCACCTGCTTGTTGAGGACGGGCTGCTGGAAGGACTCGAACAGGAGGCGGATCCCTTCGTATTTCGCCTCCTGGCCGACGCACTTTTCCACGAAGTCTGGAGAGAAACGCACAACGTTTCACAATGAATCAACGAGTCGGGTTAGTCATTCTTACTGGGAAGAAACAACGAGTTCTAGTTGAAGTGCTGCAGACAAACAACCCTCAGGACATGACCTCTGACCTCCAGAGTGATGATGCTTGATATGCATACGACACAGACGAGGACCCACCTGGTAGATAGTTCATCATCTCATCGAAGGTCTGCTTGGCTCGGACCTGTTTGTCCTCAGGAGCTCGCTGCTCACTGCTCTCACAGAACACAGAGTCTGCAGCAACGAAAACCACAAAGAAACATACACACACGTAAGTATACGAGTGTACCTGCAAAATAAGCCACATGACGAATGTACTACTCAATAAATACATCATAGTCTTGTTTAAACGTTTAAGGATCTGGATTTCAATCCAGCTTCATTTATAGCAGAATCTCACTTTGTTGAAGCCCAACGGCTCCAATCTGAATACTGCTCATGATCTCACTCTCACCTCTGAGCTGAGTGATGAGGGACACCATGTGGTTCTCCTGGAGGATCTGCTCCAGCTTGGACTGCATGAACTGGTCCATGTAGGCTTCAAACGTGTTCTTCAGAAGGATCCTCACCGCAGCCAGACCGTGATGGAGCCAGTCCGCTGTGTGGAACACCGTCCGACCTGAGTCAAAGCCCCGGATGAAGATCACTAAACAGGCGATCGGGTCACTACACAGTGACAATCTGTACTGAACGTTTTAGTGGTTTTGTATTGTATGAAATCTGCTCTGCCCTTTAAAATACAAAGGAAGTTTGTCTCCATCACTTACCGACGTACATCATGTAGTCATACATGCCGTCTACGGAGATCATCTCCAGGATGTTGTCGTCGTGTTTCCTCTCTGAATTCTCCGGCAGGTTGGCGTTGTTTCTGAACAGGTTGTTGAAAAGCTGGAGGCCAGAGGAAAGTGTGACGAGCGTTACTATGACAACCAGGTTTCAGGTTGTCGTGAACGGACTCATTCATCAAAGCTCATGGATGGAGACTTAAGTAACCCGGGAGCCCTCGACCGGCTCCTCCTACGGTATCAACACAGCTTCCCGTGCGTCACACTTGACCCAAAGTGTTCCGGTGGAGAGGAACACTCGGGCTTATCACACGAGCGCTGCCTCCCTGAAGAGGAAATCCTCCCTTACCTTCTTGCTGCTCTGGGTGGACGGGCTGAGGACGGTCAGCTCCGGCCGGCTGGGTCTGGGTTTGGGCGCCTCGCAGGAGTTGAAGAAGGACTGGATGAACGGGTCCAGGTTCTGTCCTTTCTGAAAGAAGAAAATAAAACCACATCGTCTGTGACAAAACAAGCCAATCAGCCTTGTTTCCCCACACAGAGGTCAGAGGTCAGGGGTCAGGAGGAGTTTGCATCTAATGTTGAATTTGTAGAATTAATCTCTAACCAGAACGCCATAAACTCTGTGAGGGATTTTTTTTCTGCTTGAACTGAGGTCAGAGGTGAACCTTTCTGTGACGATATAAAGGTCACACAAATTGTTCTTTTTCCGTCCACAAACATAGTGTAGTATTTTGTAAGGAACTCATGTCCATGTGAGAACACTTTTTGGTCCATTAGAGACCTGTCATTCAACATGTAGCTCCGCATGGAGAAAGTCTTGAAACTGGAGATTGAGAACATAAACTCGTGTTTCACTCGTGAGAAGTTGAGTCATTTGGGACGTCTATGGGACGAGAGGAGTCGCCCCCTGCTGCTCACTAGAGGATATGCAGCCATGAAGGTTTGCTAAATTGTCATGGTGACAAGTTGCATACCCCAAATTTTTGGCACTTGGCGCCTGCTGCTTTTCATCATGAAAAAGCAAATAACTTAATGAAAGTTTACTGTTATTATGCCTGAGGATTTTACGAAGACGACCTTTAAAATGTTTAATAGATATATTTTGCACTGAATCAAATTGTTCACGTGATATCAGAACCTTTAACGTAGACATTGTGGCTTCGAGGTGCACAGAGACAAAGTTCTCACCTCTTTCATCAGCTTCCCTGGTACGGACTTAAAGATCTTTCCTGTAGAACAAACACAAAGTAGGTAAAGGAGAAGCAGCAGCTTTTACTATCAGAAGAAGCAGCTACGTGAATATAAAAGTACGAGTTTTCTGAATGTCTTCAGAATACGCGACCTCACAAAACAGGGTCTTCACCATAACTCTGCTGGTTATGACCGTTAGAAACATAACGTGATGAAGTGATGACATCACTTCAGAAACACAACATTGACGCCTATATCTGCTCAAAAGACAGAATAGGAAACAAGGAAATGAAGCGTCAGGGTCTCCTAGTGAGAAATGTCAACGCACCCAAGTTCACGTCAGGGAGCATCCGGTCCAGAAACTGAGACTCCACACTGTGAGGAGACAGGAAGTCCACCAGCAGCTGACTGCTGCTGAGCTCAGGGTGCTGCAGGAGCCTCTGCACACGCACACAAGTGAAAATAGCTTTTTAAAAACATTATGGGAACAATTATTAAGACACCAAATGAAAACCTGACCAAATATATTTGTATTAATGTACAAAGAGATAAATATTTGTATTTATTAGTGTTGTTTACATAACCTGCTGTGTTGTTTATAGATAAGTAAATACTCGTAAAAGTAAAAACTATTACACAGAATAAACGCGATGAGGAGAAAATCTTAAACAGGCTTTTGTCATTTAAAGAGAAGATATCAAAGGAGATGAAAGAACTTAAAGGAGTATTAGAGGAAGACGTTTTGTTTTAAGGCATTTCTCTCAGCACCAACGAAGAAGACAGCATTATGAAACATGCAGGTGTCTTACCTGTAAATACTCCTCAAATTCCTCCCTTTTGGATGCAAGAAAATCACAATTCTTTGGTCCGATGATTCTTTTGGATGGAAGTTGAGCGTCTGCAAATGTGCCTGGAAGAAGAATATAAATAGATATAAAATATATATAAATAGATATAGAACTACATTAGATTAGTGTTTTTTACACAAGCTAATATTCTTATTAGAATATAGAAAATAATGTAAATTATTTTGTAACTGAGGTTTTAAATTTCTTTAAAAAAAAGAAAATTGTTTTAAAAATTGGTCCAAAAAAAAAAAAAAAAAAAAGAATATTTATAGATTTTCAAAATATTCATTGAATTTAACAAAAACAACCATCGTGCATCCAAAGTACAAAGTGGAATTTTATGATATTTCATGTGGACGACATTCCAGACGTCAGAGCAGATGTTCATGCTACTCACCGTGGAACTCGGTGAGTTTGGACTCCAGCACGTAGAACTCCAGGTATCTGCGGTACACAGACCACGTCTCAGGCTGGTCCCCGACTGTGGGAGGAGACATGAAGCAGAGCTCCATCGTTAACCTTCAAACAAAGACCAGAGTGTTCTGCCGATGAACTTTGACCTCGTCTCCAGGCTGCTGGGAAGCTCTGCATCGCCCTTCACTTGTTACCACGGTCACCACAACCTCGGCACCACTCTGACAGCCAATGCAGCCGGACTACGGACACAGTTCTCCTGTCTACTGGAGAAGATTCCAACTCACCACGACTGACAGGAAAAGATTCTGCGATTTTGGGCTTTACAAAATAAAATAAAATAAAATGAATTAGAACATCAGTCCCTTTAGTTCCTGCCAGATGCTAATCTTTAGTTTGTGGCCTCGTATCAAACCAAAACAAGAAATGTTTTAGATCTGTTTTATAATGTTCATGACTTCATAGAACAAATATCCGTATACGCCTGAAGTGCGGCGTGTTGGGGTGGAGGCGGGCGCTGCACCTGCTCACCTCCCTGGCGGTCGCGGCGCTCCACGTCGATGCAGAAGACCGGGACCCTCTCGCGCTTCACGTGGTCCTCGTACATGTCGATGTACGGGATGACCAGGCGCCAGGCCGACAGGTTCCTCGGGGAGCCCGGCGGCGCCGCTGGCTCGGCGGGGGAGCCGTCCTCCACCACAATGGTGGCCTCCTCCACCTGACGGAGGACAGGGAGGAAGCTTTGATCTTAGTGTCCCACAAACGCATGACCAATAATCAATAATCATTAACCGCTAGAATGCCGAAGATGATGTTTGACTTTTAAAATATTAACACAAGAGGATCAAACGTGTCTTTATTCAGCGGGTACCAGCTCGAGGTCCAGGTCGCTCATGGCGCTGGGCGGCAGCATGGCGCCCTCCAGGGCGCTGCTCTTGAACACGCCTTTGATCCTGCTGCCGATCCTGCTGATCCCGAACGACTCGCCACGCTTAGACGGGTTCCTGAACCGGGTTATTGATCGTAATCAATACACAGGTAATCCCATCTCATCCGTTGACCTTTGACCTGGTTTCTACTGATCCTTCTCGTCTCTAACTGGTGGATCTTTTTGTGGATTCTAAGGTGTTTTCTCCTGATGACCAGAATCAAAGGATTCCTAAAGGAGTTCATGTAATCAGACCTCTTCGTCGTCTTTCCGCCCTGATGAATAAAAACGCAGTAGAAGTGACTAACCTGTTGATTCTGGAGCTCCTGGTGGGAGACTCCTCCCCCCTCAGCAGGTGTCTGAAGTACTGAACCGAGAGGAGACACCGACGTACAGATCACACCTCAGCCGTGATTTCAAGTCACATTGTAAACTTTTAGATTGACTCAGACAGCAGTACAATAAGGATGAATGAAGAGTAATAAAGTACTATTATGCAGGTTGTTAACCATGATAATGTTTTAAATACATGATTATGTTTTAAATACATGATGCTTAATCTTATAATCTGCTGGTGTGGTTTCTAAATCTGAAAAAATTAGATTAGGATTGTGTTTTTTGACTACTTGTACACGTAGAAGTATAAAGGCACACTAAGTAGTACTCAAGTACTAGAGGAGTGATGATGAGTGTCTGACCTCGTCGCTGTGGCAGAACATCGGGGTGAAGACTCTCTCCAGCAGACACAGGACGTGTTCGTACGCCTCGAAGAGGCAGTGCATCTTCTGCAGCTTCACCACGCCGCCGTACGGACCTAGAGCGACTGGGTGTGGGGGGGGGGGGGGTCACACATGGTCTTCACCGGGTACACAGACACCCTCTACAGCGGTCTAGAGGGGGGCTTTAAGCGTTAGCGGGAGACCGTCTCCCATGATGCAACACTCCACAAACACCAAACTCCATCCCTCTGGGTTTCAATTATAAGCTGATGAAATCACTTTCAAACCTCACGTCACGATAGACAAAACACTTAACAGGACGGGTCGGTGTGAAGCTTTGATGACGTTTCGCTTTTCTGAGCGACAAAAACAGAAACATTGGACTTAAGAAGCGTGAATCCTGTACAAATACTCTATTTTCTGCCTATTCGAGTCCCACGAAGCTGTTGATATGGCCAATAAAAACCATCCTGTTTTGTGTCCTTAAACTCACTCTTTAAGTTTCAAGCTGCAGCTCAGAAATGTTTCCCTTTTCACACCGAAGCACCAAAACAGACAAAGTCAACAGGCGACTGTCTCAGCCGCCTGTCTCCATGGTAACCGCCTCAACAGAGACTCAGCGCTGAACACAAGTCTAAAGAATGCTCCTAACTTCCCACTAATGTCCACCCGCCCCAAGTGACCCACTGCAGATTCCCAGCGTCCCATCGGAGAAGGAATACGGGTGTGAAGGCGGCCGCTTACTGTTCCTGATCTCCTCCACGATGAACCCGTCGAAGCTGATCTTGTCGATGCTCTCGTCCAGGCAGTAGGTCTCGTAGATGTGCAACACCTCGCCGTGCAGCCGCTGCAGCTCCGAGTCGCTCAGATCCGGACTCAGGATCTTATCGTTGAACTCCTCTGGAAGGAAGAGTGGGTTTAGGCCTCAGGGGAGGAACCACTGCGCCCCCCTGTGCTGCTTCAGTAGCTCACAGCAGCTTCCTTACCCACAGTGAGGCAGAACTGCAGCACGTGAACGGCTCCCTCCTGCTTCAGGAAGTTCATGAAGCGAAAGAGGAGATCCTGCTGCTCCCGGATATCCTTCAGCTCCAACTTCAGCACCTGAAGACAATGTAAGACTTTAGTTAGAGACCAGATGACACGCAGCAGTGTTTCCCACACTCATTTGTGGCAGCGCGCCACAGATTCAACACCGGCGTGGTGAGGGGGGCAAGTGATATAATATATATATCTATATATCTATAGTGTCCTTGGCCCGGCAGCCGTTCCTCGTTACCCACCGACGGCTTCTTGCTGCTGACGTCGGCGTATTTCTGTAAAAACGGCACCGAGGGGGACGGAGGATCGCTGGGCGACTCGGGCTGGAGACACAGAGGAGCGTTAGGACGTCTGGACGGAGAGGAAGCACCTCGGTTTGGCCCGTTTACTTACTGGAGTGTTGTCCACAAACAGCAGCACCATGAGGTTCACAGTGTCCTGAAAGACGGAGAGAAGCGACACCAGCTCCCATTTAACTCGTTACATCACGCGCAGCAGAGAAGAACATCAAGCCTCTTGTGTGATATGAGCTCCATTGGACAAAAGTATCTTTTAAATGACCCCGTTTCTACAGTCCTTCCGTTCTCGTTTGAATGTGTTCTTCTGTCTCTCAAGGTGCAGTACGAGTTGCTCTACTTACGGGGTCGGCCATGAAGTCCATGGTGGGCAGCATGACCGATCCGGCCATCACCTCCCGCAGCAGCAGGGCCAGAGACCTGAGCAGAGGGACCACAAGCGTTTGTCTCATTACCACCCAATAGTATGGATTATAATAAACAAAAAACAACAGTTATCCCAGACGTTTGTGGGACTTTCCTTCTGTTTTGTGCAGGAACGTTGGAGAATAGAATTGTATCTTACATTAGTAAACAAAAGCCACGATTTCTGCAACAAAATGGACCTTTATGTTGTTTTTGCTCTGGGTTGCTGCTAAAATGCATTGCGTTTGTGCTGATGTGAACCAGACTACATCCTGGACGGCTCCTCGGGTTCTCGCCGCCCACCTGCAGTCCGTCGCTTTGGGCGGCATGACAAAGGGAAACAGCATCTCCGTCAGCTTCCTCAGGTACAGCAGCTCGTCCCTGCGGCTGCGCAGCGCCATGTGGAGGTCGGCGCCGTATTCGTCCAGAGCCGCCTGCTGAAGGCCCCCCGAGTCCTTCACTGCCGACACACACAGGTCCACCGACCGGAGAAGATATCTACTATGTGTCTTCATCTACCCGAGTGTGAATAAAGCCACACAGCGACGGCTCAGACACAAGAAGGCCCTCGGATGTTAATGCTGAACAAGGAACTGATGACATCACCAGTTTAAAGCCTATCGACTGCTTTGATGAGCTACTTCTCCTTAAATGAGCATCAATGAATGAAAGAATATTTAACATCTAAAGTCAACGACTGCAGACGGTAACAATGTTCGCACCTTTTCCTCGAGCTTTTGCAATAATTTCAATGTGCTTCATGGCGGCTTTCATCACTTTGTCTGCAAACACGACGGGAACGTCGACCTGCAGAAATACGCGCAGCAGCATTAATGGAAGACGGATCGCAGGACGCAGAGCACTCGCTCTCATGTCGGTCTGATGAATGAAAGAAAGCAAGCAGCTTAGTAGTGGACGAACCTTCTGAGCCCGGCGGACGAGCACCGAGGCGAAGAAGCGAAAGGTCATCCTGAGTTCATCCACGCACGCCTCGTCGTCCGTGATGTCCCTGAGGACCAGAGGAGGAAGTTCAGAGCAACGTCTGCGTGGTGCAGCTGCAGAATTAAAACATTCTCTCACCTGTACCACGGGTACACAAAGTTCTCCAGGACCAACTCAAACACCTGCAGGTCGGGTTCACACACGCACGGAAGTAACGGTCAGAAAATGGGCCGTAGAATGTCTGATAGGGAAGATGTGATTTAGGGATAGAGGTACCTCTGCTACAGACGCGTCCACCTTTGAAGGAACCTTCAGGTCGAGCCACGGCTGATAGTTTTCAAGGAGCAGCGTCGGCCTGAAAAAAAGAAAGCAGCGCGTTCAGCACTTCGAAGACGGTTAGTGGTTGTTGTTCTTTGGGGGAGGAGAAGTTGACGTTGCGGGTCTTCAGATATTAAACTATTCAGATCAACTGGTGATGTGCTTCACCGTGTCCACTCTGTTCTGGTTGTAAATGATCTCAGCAAATTCTTCATTACAAAGGACAATATGTTGAGTGAATAATACTAGAGGGAAGGAAACCTTCACATTTAACACTATGTCTATAGATTTATGCCATTACGCCTGCTTTGGCTTGCCGTTCTTTCATTTATCACAGACATGAGAGCGAGTGCTTTGCTCGGTGTCTTGGGATCCGTTGTCTTCCACTAACGCCGTGTTTCTGCAGGGTGACGTACCGGTGGCGGCTGCACTTCACCTTCCCGCAGACGGCACAGCTGCGGCCCAGAGGAAACAGCGCCTGCTCCCGTCGCGTCTGCCGGAGGGAAAACAACGAGCTGCACTTAAGTCCCGAAGCGGAGTTCATCAGCTCAACGAGTCCCAGGCGGTCACATCACATTAGTGGTGTCATTATTGATCCCTTCTGCTAATGATCTGGTTACCTTCCGAACACTAAACTCTGAGCACATTATTAGACCGCATTAAAACTATAATGATGACGTTTGTTTGAATTAATATAATCTTTTATTTACCTGGAAGTATACAATGGAAGACATTTAATATTCTTAATGTTTTACTGTCTTCAGGGAGGTTACAGATGTAGTTCTGTAGACCAGCTGTTATCTAACAACAAAGAGATCTGGATCTGCTAACAAGGATTATCAATGATCAATAATTCCGATCAGATGCAGAAAGAATATTTTCTTGTGATCGTTTCCGCAGCAACCCACACTTACTTTGCTGCGGGGCTTGACGGAGAAGAGGACGTTGGGGAGGAGGGACTCGGGGCCGAAGGAGCAGTAGAAGGTTGTGACTCCGGCCAGGAAGGACCAGAACACCATCAGGATGTGGATGTACCTGAGGCATCACAAACTGCCGTTTTACTCATCAAGAAGAGGAAGAAACGGCAAAATGGAGAAAGACCGCCGACTTGGAGACGTCTTCAAATGTTTTAAATGTGTCTGAAAAGTACTCCGATTTTTACTTTGCAAATTTTGGCTTGAAATGCAACAGGATTATATTTCTACTTTAACTTTCATCTGTAATTTACAGATTATTTAAATTATGAAGTGATCAGATTAAGATTTAACATATTTGGCCTACTTCTTATATTATTGGTCTAATTAATTTAACAGTAGTCAATATATCCACTCATCGTGCGATTGTTTCTGTAAAGTTGTAAAGCTCTTTGAGGAACTTCACTCAATGGTTTATACAGGAGAGCTCTGACTGAACACTACCTCTCCCAGTATGACTCTCCCAGTACGGCTGGTTCCACTACCTGTTGAGCAGCACAGTCATCGACACCATGGTGAGCAGCACAAAGCAGAAGACTGGATACTGACGTCCGGCTTCCCTCATGACGTCAATCTTCAGTCCTCGCGTCACGTGACCCACACACGCTAAAAGCCCCGCCATCCTCTCCAGAGGACCTGTTGACAGCTAATGCAGTACATTAAAACCTCGAAACTTTTAACGTAGTTTAATAACGACCAACAGTCGTCGGTTTCAACCAGCAGCACCGTAATAAAGTGAGGTTAAACGGTAAAAACGTGATTTTAAATGTTCTCGGACATAACTTGCTAGCTTAGCTATCTTAGCTAACAGCTAAATTGGTTAGCTGAACTGACACCAGCGTCCACGGTTCGTTTTCTAAAATACTTACAGCGACACTATCGCAGCCGCTCTTCATGTAAAACACCTTCTATCCATCGGCATAGGCTTCGGCTGATAGCCAGTGACATGTCAAAAAGTTCCTAAAGTTATTAATTGAGGTTTTCCCATTTTATTTGAAAGTCCCGACCTACTTCCCTGAGGTGGAATGTTTTCTAATCGGCCGGAAGGTTGCCAGATGTCATTAAACCGCAATTTATTTTTTAATCCTCAATTTCATGTTTTTCTTACCGGTTTTCATTCAACAAAATGTAAGAAATCTGACAACGAACATTTACACGAGACTAAATCACAGGGCAAAGACTTTCTTGGAATGTCGTCCGGGCATAAACACTGATTCTAAAGCTCCAAATGTGTATTTCAGCAAACGGACATGGCAACCTTAAATCCAACCACGTCATTTCCGTTTGAGCTATCCAGCACGTCACAAGTGACTGAAATACAAATAAATACTTTTCCAACGAGTAATTTACAGTTTGAATACATTTTATTGAAAATAAAATGTTTCAATTCTTTGATTTTGCTTTTACTTATTTGCTTTTACATTACTTTTAATTTTGGGTTTCTTTAAATCCAAAATGGTTCTATTGACTACTTCAATCCAACTATTGTTAAATAATATGGAAAACGACCCCAAATAATCTTGAAATTGAACTTCACAGGAGATTTTATGAGTTAAATCTTAAATATATTTACAGGAAATTAATCAAACACATGAGATCAGTCATATCAGTCAATAACTTTATTAGAAAAATAGGTTTACCTTACCTCACTGTACAGTATAAAACAATTGATTTGCAAGAATGCAAACACTTGTTAGCAAAACATTTTTATACACAAACACACACATATTTATATAAATATATATATATAAAAATATATACATACATACGTATACAAATACACACACATACTTCTTGACCTTTAAAATTGGTTATCCAACGGAGTCAATACTAGAAAGAAAATATGAATCTGTTTTTTTACAAAACCAGTAAAAAAAAAAAAAATTCAAAAAAAAAAAAAAAAAGTTTAAAAGGAGAAATCCAACTCAATTTCCTACAGTTCCCAGAATGCCGGAGTCTAAAGCAGCGTGGGGAAGTCAGGAAGTACGAGACGCAACAACACGTTCTGGGTTTTTGTCTCCTCGTGGGATGTGTTGACATAAAGATACAGAATGACGTCAAACTGATCATTTAGAACGTATGTACTGTCTTGTTTATATATCTATAATGACTTCTAAGAATTTAAGAATTTGAACTGATCTGTATTTGCAAAAAAAAAAAAAAAAGCCACGCCGTCGTTATGAGTTTTAAAAATCGTCATAATACCTCTAGCTAATCCTTTCTGTGACAGCTGCAAAACTTAATAGTTGCATGGATTTGCTCCTTTACATTTGAAATGAACATTCTTAATCCTCAGTATAAAGTGTACACAGATAGGTAAAAGATGGGACTCCATTTTTTTCAGTCGACGGCGATGCACAACATGAAATGTAGAAACATGCTTTAGCGATGAATTATTTAGTTTGATTCCTGAAAAACGTATAAACCAGGAAGGAAATTCATGCTCTTCCACATATGCTGACACGCAGAAATAAAAAGAATACAATTAAAATAAAGGACGTCACAGATGTTTGTTCAGACTGACCGAGACATCACTTTGCAATCGTTCTCACATCGATGGCCACAAAACGAAAAAGACAGTTTCCCATTGCGGAAGACAAAAACACGTCTGCAGGTTTACAGACATTTTTTGACAATTCACAGAAAAACAAGTGTTACAAAACCATCCGTCTGTAAACTACATCAACGGGAAGCTCCTGTATCAGGACCCTACGACAGCGTATCAGCGGCATTGTGGGCGGAATACTAAACCACAGATTTATCCTGGTACGTGTACTTGTACCCTGATACGCCGCCGCAGGCCAACTTTCAGGACGACCAACCAGGTCTCCGCCGACAGCTAAAACTCATTAAGTGCTCCGTTGATGTTGGCTGTGCGTATCTCAAGGACAAAGTGGACAGCAGGCGAGTCCTTCACAGTGAGGTAGCTAACGACCCGCGGTGGTGTGTGTGTGTGTGCGTGTGTGTTCTTAACAGAACCCGCTGCTGGGATGTCGGGTCACAGATCACATCTTGTCCATCAAGCAGATCTGCATTCAAAGAGCAGACTTATCCAGAAGGAGGTCTATCATGAACTTCTAAGGAAGACTCAAATGGCTTTTTGTGTGTGTGTGTGTGTGTGTGTGTGTGTGGGGGGAAATAATATATTGATCTAAAAAAAAGAAACAGCAAGCTCAAGAATTTCTCCTGTTTATCTTCAAACATGGTGCTGTTTTTCAACGAGATCTGCTCCTTAAAAAAAAAAAAAAAAAACAAAGGCTGGTACCATTGGACCACTGAGTCAGGTGACCTTACCATTCCATCCAATTGGCAGCCGTCAGAGTGTGTGTGATGCCAAACGCTGGTCAGTCCTCATAGCGACGCGTCAGGACCGGCCTCGACCCCTTTTTCCTGCTAGTCAGGTAACAAAAGGAAGCAATTAGAGAACTGGAAAACAGCATCATGTCACATCTAAAACACACAAGAGACACACACACACCATTTTAAACATGCACATCTTAAAAGTGGACCACAAATAAGGTAGTGAATTAAATTGAGGTGCAGCAGTTGAAAGAGACATGATCGGACAGGCAGAGGGGGGGGGCAAACGAATGAGGGGATGGAAGCGAGTCATGCGGCAGTTCTCTCTCAGCAGCAACATGCCGGATTAAACCCAGGAACATCCTCTGGGACCAGGAAAAGCTTCCGAGACATTAACAAATCAAATTGTGCTTTTTGTTTCCCACCCCAACTTTTAACAAAAGGAGGCTGAATGGCACTCACTGGGAGGGGGTGGAAAGAGGGGGCGGGGGCTATTAACGCTGCATTGACAGTAAATTTAGGACACCAATTTGTTTTTTGGACATGAGAAAACTCCTAAAAAGGATGAAGTATGTCACCACACATACAGAGCAGGTGAGAGATGTGGAGAAAGGGTTTGAGGGCATGCGAGGTGACACTGTAGCACGTGGCCAACACTGGCAAACCTTTAGTCCGTTTGCTTCCACAAGGAACGCCTTTTCAATTTCAAGGCAATTTGAAGAGAGAATTTGCCGAAACATGAATTTGCAACACAATTTGAAGTTTTTTTGTACACTTGTGCGTGTATGTTTATTAAAGCAGACAAACAGCAAAGAATACAAGCCAAAATGTAAAGCCAAAAAATAGGACTACGATTGCCCTTTTTTTTCTTTTTCTTTTTTTCTTTCCAATAACAAGACACGCATTACTTTGTGACAATACAAATTGTATTTCCATTTGTTTTTAAATACAAGTTTAGGAGACATATGCTTTGTTGCCGTTAGCTACTTAAAACATGGAAAGCAGAATCTAAAAACAGACAGAAAGCTAAAGCCAAATACTCCGCTCCAGCACATATCCGCACCTAAAAAAACCTTTTAAAACAAACATCTTGTATGTTTGGTTTTTTTTTTATTTTTTTAAAAAAGAAAATTTAAAAAGGGGGTGTTCGAGGGATGAAGAAAACCAGTTCGCCAGTAACAAGTGGGAGTGTGACTACGGTTTGTGTCCAAGCGGATTATTAAAATATGTACAAAAAGATATCTTGCCAGATGTCACCAATTTTTGAGGAGAGAGAAAAAAAAAGGCCGGCAACCGTATGGGAGCCAATCGGATCAAGTCTCTACATAAAAAAAGACAAAAAACAACAAACCAGTATATTGTTATCAAAGCCCTACTGGTTTACTTCCACTGCTGGCCAAAAGAATCCTGATAAAATTCCTGGTTGTCGGATTTGTAACCGGAATAGTTACCGGAATGATCCCCCCCTTGAAGCGGTTGCTGAGCAATGGGTTGAGAGCCCCAGTTCTGATTATTGGTCTGGCGACGCTTGGAATCTGGCTGGTTGTACCCGTCAGCTTTGCGCTTTCCTCCTACATTTCCACCGCGGCCACCCCGAGCACCACGTACCCCTCCTCTCCCTCTCGGCTGCAGGCCTCCTCTCGCTCCCCGCCCGCCGCGGCCCGGTCCGGGCCCGCCCCGCTGGGAGAAGTTGGACCTGCCTCTGGGTGCGCCGGCGCCGCCGCGGCCCCTGGCCGGAGAGGATCCGCCCCGGGAGCCCCTGCTGCCGCCCCGCCCTCGGCTTGGCGCCTGGAAGTCGTCATAGCCGTAGTAGGGGTCGTCGTAGCCGCCGCGGTAGTTGTGATAGTCGTAGCCGTAGTAGTCGTAGTAGTCCTCGTACCCGTAGTAGTCGGGGGGGTAGGCCGAGTAGCCGCCCCGGTTGCCCCCTCGGCCCCGACCTCTGACCGGAGGCGGCATGTGGGAGGGGGGAGAGTAGTAGAAGTAGTCATCGTACCTGGTGAAAGGAGGCAGCCGTGAGAAACAACCGACCAGACGCACTAATTCCTGATTCAAACAACACTCAAGTCATCGTCTCTAAAGTAATAATTACCCAAATTAATCATTTGTATCCGACAAAATATCCTGTAATTTATAACAATTCTCATTTTCAATAAACCATGATGGGTTTGTATTTTCTTCGTACATTACTGTTTTGGCCGCTTGTCTCTGGGCTTTGCGTTCCTTCCGCTTCTGATCGGGCGGTTTGGCGAAAACGATCTCGATGGCTTCTCCCTCCAGCTCCTTCCCGTTCATCTCCTCCAGCGCCTGAGAGGACAATCTGTCAACGTCTTTTTTGCTTCAACAACCTTGCTTATGTGCGGTTCCCTTGAATAACCCCACCTTCACCGCGCCGTCCCGCTCCTCGAAGTGGATGAAGGCGTAGTCTTTGAGCTTCTTGACCCGCTCCAGCTTCCCGAACTCGCTGAAGGACGTCTCCAGCAGCTCCTCTGTGACGCCGTTGGCGAGATTTCTCACGAACAAAACTTTCACCTGCAGAAGTGGACGGAGCCGAGGTCAGCCAGGTTCAATGCACGGAGATCCTTTCCGCCGTCGAAGCTCACCTTGGCCATGACCTCCGGGTCGGGGTCCTCGATGGGGTCGGCCCACTCCACAGTCACCACGTTGCCCCACACCTTCACCTTGCCGCTCATCAGCCGGCGGCGAGCCTGAGCGGCCGTCTTGTGGTCTTCGTACTCCAGGAAGCAGAATCCCCGGTTCTTCTTTTTGTCGTCGGGTTGATGGTACAGTATGACGTCACTGAGGCCCTCTGCGGGCGGACGGTAACCAGAGTTCATTCAGAGTATTATCAAACGCAATCACACCAATCTATGAAAAACCGTAACGTGTGGAGTTACCTGTGACTTTAGCAAACTCCTCGACAATCTGCTCCTTGGTTTTACTCTTGGGAATGGAGCCCACAAATAGCCGGTTGTTGGCGACTGATATACACACCCCGATGTGTTTGCCCGGGCGGATCTCGTGATTATTGCACTACAAAGAAAAGGACACCATAACTCTTGTGTTGACAACTGTTGAGTAAGCGGAAGTACTTTTATCGAGCAAATCTGACCCTCAACTTAAAGAACAAGTAAGGACTTTCGACTACATGCCTGCACTTATTTTTCTCGGGTTCACAGTGTAGTTGCAGAATTATTGGGAGCATTCAAGAACACAAGCGCCCGAGGCGAGGAGACGTCGCCGCGCCCAAACGTACCAACTTCACCGCCTCCTGGGCCGCTTCCTTGGTGCAGAAGGTGACAAAGGCGTATCCCCGGTTCAGGCCGCTGAGCGGGTCCATCATTAGCCGCAGGTCCCAGATAGGCCCCGCCTTCTCAAAGAGAGGAACCAGCTCATCTTCAAACAGGTCGCGGGGAATCTTCCCGATAAATATCTGGGGAGAAAAAAGGAGTAAAACCATTTCAAGGATAAACACGCATCACGTTCCAGACTTCAGTTTGCTGCCAATCACAATACCACTCATTAAATAATGATTTTTGTTTTGCGGTTCCCCCCCCGACGTACCATTTATCTCGCTGAGCAGCGGCACACAAACCATTCACGGGTCGGCCCACTTCCACAATAAAAGTTGGATTTCCTCTCAAGACAAATTGACAAGCGTACCTCTGTCCCGATGTTGGGTTGGGCCCCCGAGTACACAGACTCTGGCGGGGGGCCGCCATACTTCCGCTGGCCTGTTGTTACGTCAAGTGTGTAGTCGGTTCTGTCCAGGAGGTCCTTGATTTTGGCTTCGTCTGGTCCTTTAGTGGAATCTGAAACTTTAGTCCCTTGTTTCTCCCTCTGCCTGTAGGTCTTCATCACCCCACACAGAAAGGCACTTTTGTTCTGAAAGAGAAGCACTTTGTCAGAAAAAAAGTCACCTACTGTTTAGAGGAGCAATCAGTACAAAGAAGAAAGTACTTTACGGTTTTAGTACGATACGACACGTTTTTAATAAAAGACCCTGTTACACTTACTTGCACGTGTGACAGATCGCTCTCTTTGAACTGGACCAGCACTTGCAGGGCTCCCTCCTCGTTGAATTCTTTCAAAGCTTCAAGAGCTCTTTCGTCTAGGTCACTATGTGCTACTAAGCCTGTAAATAGCAGGTAAAAACAGAAAGCGTGATGATCATCTGGGCAGGTTAGCACGGAGAAACAAAAGCACACGTGACTCATGCAGCTATGAAGCAGCTGCACAAGAAAAGGCGCCAAAAGAATAGTTGATTTGTACCAGAAAGAGCTAAACAAATGTTTATCATATCTAATATTTTACAGCCACATGTAGTGCAACCTCCTAAAAAGACGTGCATGGGTCAAATCCACAGAACGGCACAAACAGTTAACTTAGCAGCTAAAAATAGACCACATGACAAAAGGGACTGTAAATTACAATCTTTTTTTATCTGCATTTTTTTATAGATTAATGGTGTTCTATTCGTGTAATAAAGAAAATCCTCCCCCCGTTTCTTTAAGTTCACTAGGATGTTTTTAAATGTCTTATCCAAAGACATTCAGGTCAACACAATATGAATAAAGTCAAACTAAGAAAAGCTCCATAAACATGAGGATAACATTGGTATTTTCTGCCGTCATGCACATCAATGAGTCAAGCTTACGGTTTGATTATCATAAGTAGTTACGAATTGCTTTCACGCAGATCCACTAATTGATAAGTCTAATCATTGCACCACGCCACCCTTTCCTGTTGGGTCAATGCTGGAGACACACGGCCAAACCCTCGAGTTCCCCGGCTGCAGACAGCGGCTCTTTTGTTTTCAAGTCTCGGTACCTTCTGCATCCTTTTAACCCGTTCAATCTAACTTTCTGGACTTAACAGCTTGACTGTACTTGGACCTGAAGGAACAAGGTTAACACTTCTATGAGAGCAATTATGGTCAAACGATTGGGTTTTAACTATTTATGAAGTAAAAAATAATAATTTTGTGAAATAATAGAGGTTTGAATGAAACGTTAATTGTAGTTGCAAACAACTTATTCCCTCCAACATCCTGCAGCTTAATGTCTGTTTTACAACAATTAACTACGCCCTTTATTACAATAATCAAACAACTCAACGGCAGCGACGAGTGATGTTTCCTTTCTGAGGCCCCTGTTTTAGCCAATCACGTTATCAGAGGAGGTCTGCTGATACGAGTAAAGCCCCGAAACCGCTTCACACGCTGATTCTAAACGCAGTACGTAGAACACCTATGAATTCTGTTTAGCAGAAGATGAATTCACATTCGTGAGAGTTGGTGGCAGCAGGACACTGAGTCCAGGTGATGGAGAAACACGTCGCCTAGTGCAACACAGGGGTTGTGTTTTTAGGTTTAGGTTTTGAATAAAAGGAATATGATCAATCAGGATTTAGATACTTAGGTGTAGACGTATTAGTGAAATCAATTGGTCTTTTCATCGTTCAATACAAAAATAGCAGCCATGTGCTTATAAGGTGGGATTTAACAACATTAACTCCAAATACTGTACTTTTATTTGTACACTATGTAAGTACTTACACGATTAGTTTTTAAGTGTTCTGTAATTTTTTCACTTCTGATGATATTTAATTTTCTTAGTTTAGTTATTCTGTAGATTTAAATATACAAACAAATTATGCATCAACTAACAAATGGCGTTATCAAAGAATATAGAAGACACCAATATAAATATATTAATATTTTAAAAAGTGATAACGGATCAGCTGTAATATTAAACTGACACATTACCAAATTAATTATCCTATAAGGTAATTAACATTATTCTGAAAATAGGGTGCTCTGCATAACAGCACTTTTGGTATTCAGGAACATCTGGATGCTGATATTTGTTTTTTTACCATTTTGAATGCGTGACCTTTACTTTAACTGAGCATTTGCACACTGTTGTATTGCTACTTTAACTTTAAAAGAGAATAGTACAACTAGATTTTTCCCCTCCTCTGACAAGTCGTTTAACAAGTGTGTGTGTCACACTGTGTGTGTGTGTGTGTGTGTGTGTGTGTGTGTGTGTCAACTATGAGGCCAGAGACGAGGGCAGAAAAGCCCTCAACCCGTCTGCTCACCTGCTACGTAAAGTTCATCCAGCTTCTCCGCCACGTTCTGGGGCAAACCGGCCTCCAGCAGGGCCTGGAAGTGTTCCGAGCGGGTCACCTCGGCCGTGGTGTCCATCGGTTCCTCCGTGCCGTTCCCGTTTACGTGGTCTGTGGCCATGTCTGCAGACATCTGTGGACAACAGTGACAACAAATTAACATTCGGTTGGACGCCACTATTCAAGACTGCGCAAACTGTACCGACCCAAGAGTGGTCGCTTGCCGCTTTGATCCCTGCCAAAGACGCCTAAACTGGGTAGAAGTACCTCAGCCAAATGCATCGGGGGCCTCCTGTACATGCTAGCGTGGCGTCATAACACAGGGATCCAATGTAGCATGTGCATCTGCATGCTAATGTAAACAGGGTGGTGGCAAAGCCACGGCAATCTTCCCCGTCTGACACGTGACGTCCAAAAGATCCGCGCGGGCACCCAGTGTCTCACTGACAAACTGCATTCAATAATAATGATGATACCTGGTAGGGATACCACGGAAAACCCAGCCGGTTGCACACGGCGTGCACCACGCCTGCGTTAGCTATCCTGAGCTAATGTCAGTTCAGGCTGGCTAACGTTGGCGGCGTGGGACTGCAGGGGGACCTCAGGCCGCAGTCTGGACGCGACCAGTTTATTTTTAGAAATCAGAGCTTGATCGTTTAAGGATGTTTCATTCTTCTCCCGGGAGATCGGTGCGGACGAATTCACCCGTGACACATTGATCTCTGCGGGTCCGTGAGTCACACAAAATGACGGCTAGCGATGTAACCAGTACCAGTTGCTCTGTTGCTAACAATGATCGAAAACGTAACAATAAAACAACGCACACGTCCGTCGCACGAGCGGCCAGCGCGGTGTTTACGTACCATGCGAATCTAAACGTAGGTGCACGATGCAGATTCGCAGCGTTGACGGTAATCCAGGAAAAGGAAATTATTCTCGCCCGGTGCTTCTCCGCGTTGATTTCTTTACTCCGGGTGAAACAAAATGGCGGCGACGTAACGTCGCGATCTCTGCATCTCGACTTCGTGTAAGGGGTTTCTAACGGGGTTAATCACGGGCTGCTCAGCTTTCACACATCCGGGACATTGGCACAAACGATCATCATTTATTTGGGACTTCAAAATCCAGGCAGCAAAATAAGTCAGTAAAATACACTCACTTTATTCGTGGTAACACATTTGCAGACTTCAGGCGTCGCTCTCTTTTCTCTCAAATGACGAGGGTCAGCTGTCGCGAGATTGTGACGCCGTTTCTCCGCAGACGGTTGTTTGTTTGGGTTCAGCGAGGCCGCCAGGGCGACGTCACTTTGTTTGCTATGACACGTTTCCCAAGTATGACGGTATATTTGTGTGTTTGTTACCCAAAAAAAACAGTTTTGAGAGCGAATTTCTCACACTGCAATCAACAATTTGTAAGTTTGTAAGTATACAAACTATAAATATATAAAAATAAATGTAAACCCACGAGTTGAGTTTGGACGCAGTGGGGCTGAATAAGCTGCTGTGTGAGCCAGGTCTTTCTATTGGCGGGTGGCTGTCTGACAGAAAGCAAGGCTTCATATCAACGCAGCTCTCCTCCAAGTATTTCTTAAAAAAAAAGAGACTCCACGACACTAACAACATGAAAACAAAGTGAAGTGACGTGGTATGAAGCAGTGAACCATTTGTCATTCCTATTCTTCAACCAAATATGTTTAGACTTGTTTCCCTATGACATTTTTCGCTTAAATAGATTTTTACATTTTTTGACGTAATATTTTTTATTTTTTTTCCACAACTTTTTGATCAAATAGATTTTTATATTTTCCGACCAAATATTTTTTTGTCACAACAAATATTGTTTGACCTTTTTTTCCACCTTTTATATATATTGTTTTCAATTACATTTTTACATTATACCTTATCATAATTTCTAAATCTAAAACTTCAGAATCTAGTACTCCCCCATTACACTTTTTGAAAAAATATATTTTTTACTATTTTCGGCCTAATACATTTTGATATTTTTCGTCGTGGCGTAGAGAGGGTGCAAGGTTGGTGGTTCGAGCCCTACCTGCCCCATGTCGAAGTGTCCCAGAGCAAAACACCTAACCCCCAATTGGTCCCCGGGCAAAAATGTTAAAAGCCATGGGTTAAAAATGCAATAAGTCGCTTTGGATAAAAGCTCCAGCTAAATGACAAATTTTCTTTTTGACCCAGTACTTTTATACTTTTTTACCCTTTATATTTTTTTACCAAATATATTTGGACTTTTTTCGACCTAATACATTTGGACTTTCTTTTGCATTAACTTTTTGATTAAATAGATCTACACCTTTTTCAACCTGATATTTCTAGACTTTTTTCTCATGACATTTTTGCTCTGATCAAATAGAATTCAACATTTTTGACAATTTTTTTCCCATAACACAAGACTTTTTTTTACAATGATGTCTTTGGACTTAATATTCTTTTACTTTTTTCCATTATTTTCTTTTTATTTCATAGATCTGGACCTATTATTTGTGACTTTATTTTTTAAGATTTTTTTTGATGAAATATTTTTGCATACTTTTACCGAAAGTCAGATGACGGCGTTGCCCCGATGATGTTTTTTTGCTTTGAGGTCCATGCACATAGCAGAACATTTTTTCCGTCGTCGCAGGTGGAAATAAAATGGCTTCCCTGGAGATAAGCCCCGCCCACTCTCTATTGTGCGCAAACAAAGGATAACAAACTTATTTTTGCTTGAACCATCATGCCATTTGCGTAAAAACGGAAGCAGGAGCCACGTGAAGGTTTCAGTGTGTGTTTTATTTGTCAACAAGGTAAAAACACATTTTTTTATTCTTCTAAAAAGTGAATCAAGAATCTTCCGCTGTTTTTTTAAACAATTACATTCAGACTTTTAAAACGTGCGTTCTGCGTGTAGCGGCTGAAAGACGTGAACCTCGTTTAAAGGCTTTTGCTCTGTATTATTGCTCAGCGAGGTAAAGGCATTAATGTGAGTTAGTTTCACTAAAGAAATAAATGAACCTGCTCGTTAATCACCCAGAATGGACACATCGTTCACCTTCAACTGTAAACCGCTAAAAGGGAACAAATAGAAGAGAGACGAGTCCTATCTCCACCTAATCCGTCTCTAATCCACCACTGAAATTGCTCTTTTTTGGGGATTTAGTAACTTAGACAAAACAACGCCTGAGCGGCAGATAAACTAACACATAATTAGATACACACATAATTAGACACACAAAGAGTTAAATCATCTCCTCAATGGTTGTATAATAATATAACGTGTTTTAGTGCGTGTGTGTATGCGTGTGTGTGTGTGTCTGTGTGTGTGTGTGCGTGCGTGTGACAGTGTGTGCGTGCATGAGTGCGTGTGTGTCTGTGCGTGCGTCAGTGTGTGTGTGTGTGTGTGTGTGTGTGTGTGTGTGTGTGTGTGTGCATCCAGCCATGCTGAGAGGGTAATGGGAAAACACAGAACATCATTACTTCTTTGTGCTGATGAACCGCTGAGAAAAGACGAACCGGACTTCAGATGAAAGGTGTGAAGAGAGTTCAGAGCCACCCAAAGACGTGAGGGGAGGAGAGGAAGAAGGTGAGGAGGAAGTGAGGAGGAGAGGAAGGAGGTGAGGGAGAGAGGAAGGGGGTGAGGAGGGGTGAGTAGGTGAGGGGAGGAGAGGAGAGAATCAAAAGCATTTTTACTTTTTTTTTTACCACTCATGTTCATTGTTAGTAATTTAAGGAGAATTAATATTAATATCAGCTTTGTTTGTTTTGGATGATATTTTTTAGTTAAAAAAGCTCAAAAGAACGTTTAGTCCGGCAACATGTTTTTTAATTCAAGGTCTATATTTAAATTGAGATTATTTTAGCGACTTCTAGGTAACAATATTTACACAGATTCTTTTCTCAAAGTTATGATATAACCTCAATTGTTGTATTTTTTGCAGTTTATTTAAATTAAATAAATCTGTACGATACATTTATTACTGTTAATATTTTTACGATGATGGAAAATTATGCTTTTAGATTGTTTTGTTGTTTTGTAATTTATTAGCTCTTTAAGCAGCTTTTAATTTTTTTTTCATTGTTTTTTCCTCCCCCGGTGAGGACTAGACGTACTCCTGCAGGCTGTAGCTGTCCTTCAGGTCTTTGTGGGGGGGTCTGCAGGGAGACGTGCAGCCCTTCCAGTGCCGCTCGGGTTCCGGAGGTCTCTGCAGCCGGACCCTCGTGTTCCACATGGTCTTCTTCGGGGGCGGCCCCCGCCACTGCCGGTCCCCTTGGCGCCCCGCAGGCAGCGGGGTATCGGCGGGGGACGGGAGTTCGGTCCGTCCCGTCCTCTTTCCGGGACAGGACAGACAGAAGATGACCCCCGCTGCCAGCAGGAAGCCGGCAGAGAGGAAGGTCACGCACAGAGCCCCCCCCGGCTGGTACTTGCTGCCGTCCGTGGCCAGGAAGGCGGCGATCACCTCGTTGGTGTACCAGGACGCCGGGCCGAGGCCCAGGGCGCTGGCCAGGACGAAGCAGCCCCCGGCTGCAGATGGCCGTGTGGCCCTTTGGCCCGGCGGCTGCCCCCCCAGCGGGTGCACTTGAGGCCCAGGGAGGCCAGGCAGAGGCCGAAGGACGCCAGCAGGCAGCAGAGCACCATGGCGGCCCGCGTGCCTGCAGGCACGGCGGCAGCGAGAGCAGCGAGCTCTTCACCGTGCAGCTGAAGACCCCCGAGCTGAACCAGACGCAGTCCACCCACAGGCCCTGCATCCGCGACATGGGGGTCATGACCCCCCCCCACACGTTAACGCTCACCTTCCAGTTGGGCAGCAGCGTGGCCACTGTGGCGCCGATGACGCCCAGCAGCGCCAGGGCGAACGCCAGGATCTGAAGGGCGGTGGACAGCATGGCTCAGCCTCCCCAGCACCTCAACCACCCCCCCACGACCCACCCCCCCTCCCACCACCGCCTCCCGCCTCCGTCAGCTCCTGACAGCAGATAATTCCTCCGCCGGGCTCCAGCGAGCTGCAACCAGACGAGAGATGAGAATCGAAGTGAGCGTGGGAGCGTGACGGACGCACAGCTGAGGCTGCTGATGGGACCGCCTTTTTTTATTTATTTATTTAAGGGGGGGGGGGCTCGCTGATTGCCTGCATCAGTGGTGATCATTGACACTCCATTATGTCCATTTAAAGCCGCAGTCCCTCCGGGTTGTTTCTTTTACAAGCAGCAGCTCAGCCAGAGAGAAGTTCTGCTCCCGGCTCGGACCTCCAGGAGACGATGAGTCCGGTGTCGGCGAGGAGGCGGCGAGGAGGCGGAGCACTCACCCCGTGAAGCGACTCCCGAGGACAAGGCGGAGAAAATGAAAAGCATACAGCGAGGGGGTTTCAACTGCCCCTCCGCCGGCCGTCTCCTTGGCAACCGTACATACAGTTCCATCCCATTCTGCGTCCTGCCCCCCCAACCCCGCCCCCTTTGTTTCTTTTGTCAGAACCTGAACCGACCAAACTTGGCTTTCAGCTTCTCACCTGAAGGTCAGAGGAGGAGCCGCAGAGCAGCGTATCTGATGAGTTCATGGCGGGGTACGCCGCAGGAGGTGTCCGTCCTCCCGGTTCTCCCGGTTCTCCCGGCTTGCTTTGGATGCCAGCCGCCAGGTCCTGATGCTGCTGATGGTTCTGATGCTGATGGCGGTTCTGATGGTCCTGAGCGAGGAGGTGGGATCTCGTCCTGATGGTCTCTGATAACGATCGGGACCATTTGTGCTCCTGGAACAATCAGCGCCGCTCCGGCGGGTCGTCGCCTCGGTGTGGTGATAAAAAGCGAGCCGCTCCGCAGTGGGAGTCGCAGTGGCGCCCGTCATGTGACTCTGTGAAGAATCGCCCCCTCTGCGCCGCGCTGATAAGCGCCGCCGGCCCGCCCACCCAGTCGGGCAGCGAGGGGACCCCGGCGGTCCGTCAGCCCGTCATTACCATAATCCTGCGGTCTTATCAGCCTCCACCAAACCACGCACCATAAACACAGGTTCCCCCCCCGGGACGCCGCCCCGGTGACGAGTCCCCACCGACACCTGATTGATGTCGTCCCGTTCGAGCGCCAAAACAAACCGGAACTCTGCAAAGAGCGAATTTCCCAGCCGGAGACGCAGAGCGATGAGGTCATCGTCAGTCACTGCAGCTCCAACGGGTCCGTTTCCTCGATGCTTATTATGGGATATTCTGTTATTCGAAGGACACAAAGGTTTGAATGTAAAAAACAGGCGTGACTCCTCGCGCTCCTCCTGGGTCCTGTTGGGGGTCCTGAACCTCACGTTGGGAACCTCGCATGAAGATAAAGAAATAATTGGTTCACTCATCCGCTCAATAAAAAGTGAGAGCGATCACAGGCCGTTCGATTGCAATCAGTTAATTAAGTGACTCTCTGAAAGGAACAAATGATTTATTAAATTAGCATTAAAAGTGGATTCATCCAGCTTGAGGCTCAATTGAAAACAAAACATATTAATCAATTTATATTTTTTCAATGCATCAGTTGGTGTATTGCTCATTGATGAATTAAAACAAGTAATTTATTATGAATGAATATGTAATTATTCTCCAAAACAATACAATATACATGATACAAAAATGTATTTACTGACTTAAAACTGAAACTAAAACAGAAAATAACACATTTAATTCTGTGTGATGGGGTTTCTAACCCAGTGTGCTTTTGATCGTGTTTTTTGATAAAAAACACAAAAAAAGAGTCACAAAAGCCTTTTTCTAATTAAGTAGATTTAATCTGTTAATCTAACAAAAGATTTGATCATTTAAAAAAAGACAATGTGACTTGATGTCTGAATTACGTCACATTCTTTGCAGCCTTTTTTTTTACTTTAAATGATTTCATCCAGAAGACGAACAATAAGCACGTTGACGTTAAATAAAAAGCAGCTCTTAAATCTCACAGCGAATGTTTTCGCAGAATCCTTTGCTGCTCTCTAATGCATCGCAATAATTAGTGCTAAATAAAAGACGTTCAATATAATATATAATATATATTAAGTTTTTTTGAGAAATGAATTGAAAACAACGGCTGAAAATGATTTTCCTTATTGTCTAAACTGAATGGTGATTAATTGTTCATAAATTTATAAAAATAGATAACACAATAATATAAGGAGCTCTTTAAATTAACAATATAAAACTGACAATTTCAGGTGTGGCTAAAAGCGTTGGCGTGTCTCTTTAAATGTTTTTATGATGTTCAGACACAGCGAGGGTCTGTACAACATCAGCTGCCCCTGTTGCCTCATGGGGAACGAGGGGGGGTCTATTAGAGCCTGAAGGCCTGCAGAGGACAAACACATAGGTTATACCTGCTGTATGTATGTAACATTTAGGTAATGGCTGCTATATTTGGGTATTGTCATTTTTCTTCTTGTTTCTTTAATAATGTTGAAGTTTATTTGTTTGTTTTAGATCTTTGTTTGACATTTCATTTTTTGTTAATTTATTTTTGTCATTTTAATTTTACAAAAATACATGTGTTTAATTATGTTGATATTAGGTTAGCTTTGTTTACTTATTCTTTTTTTATTTGTCTAAACTTTAATTATTTTTCTTTTTAATAATTTTGCTGTTTTTCTTTTTAAATGTGTTCATTTTATTTGGTTCCACTACTTTTTAAAGTCTATTTATTCTTGAAAAGCGTAATTGTCTTTCAAGATTTTTGTTCATTTCATTGTTTATTATTCTTCTTTATTCTTGTTCTCTGGTGAATCATTTATGTTTCATATTTCTCTCCAGTTTTGAGTAATTTTGAATTTTAAAAATTTCTTGTAACTGTATTAAGATTTGTATTTAATCACTTTCTATAGTTTATTCTTTTGGTTATAATCTTATTTATTTAACACCAGAATATCTAAAACGTGTAATAAAAGCTATTTAAAAAACAAAGCAAAATGTGATAAACCAGCTGTTTTTTTCCAGAATTAATTCGTAAAATGACACAAAAGAGGATGTTTCTTTGGATATTTACATTAAATGATCGAGAAGAAGAAGGTTTTTATATAAATAGATGATGAAGTCATTCCTCCACATTCTCCCCTTCGCAGTCAATGCCAATGAAATTAGCTTCACATTAAAGCAGACAATTTGACCTTTGACCCCCCCCATTCACACAGATAATCGTTTGGAGCCGAACCAAACCATCTGGCAGAAATACACACACACACACACACACACACACACACACACACACATCCCCCCCCCCCCTCACACACACACACACACACACACACACACCCCATCTCCCCCTTGGGGCTCCATCAACACATCAATCAGCACACAGACAGGAATATAAATGGACTCCTTTATCTCAGCTGAACACACACACAGACACACGCACTCACACACACAGACACACTGAATTCATATTTTCATGTTTTTTCTTTGTCTGAGATTATTGATTTAATATTGAGCTCTTCATATTGCAGCATGATATTCAGATTAGTTTATGAACTTCATGGAAGCACCATAAAGAATGAAAGCATACAAAATTTAAATAATGATGAATAATCAATAATGCAATTTGCATAATATATAACTCATTAATTGAACGTGGTTTTATTTTGTTATTAGTGAGATACCTTCACTTATACATATTTTAAGTATTTACAAATACTCTTACACACAAACACACACACACCAGCTTGTTTCTTTTTTCTCATTGGGATCATCAGCTCCATCACACTTCCTGCCAACTGAATTTCTCACACCCAATAAATAAATATATTAATAAATATATTATTAATATATTAAATATTAACATTGAACTGATGGACCGGGCCGATCATTAAACATAATTCAAGTCTGCCTCTTTTTACCCTAACATAGTTCAACAGAAAGAATAAACCACCTGATCAATAATAATAGTATATATTATCGTTATCACATGCTGAGCCGAGCGATTACACCTTTATGTGTCTAGCAAAGGTTTTTAATTTATTTCGCTTACTGTAGCAACAAGGTCACACTTTACCGCGTACAATGTCGTCTCTGCACATTGGGAGCATCTAGTAACGCTGAAGTGAAGCCACATTAAAGAGGATTAAGGAAAAACACACTCATACATTTATCAATTCGACTCTTTGGGAGAAAAGAAACAAACCTCTTCACACACACACACAGACACACACAGTGTGTAGAACCCTGTTAGTACATGTGATGATTTATGTATGTGGGAGAGGCTTAATAATGAGAGAATACAAGTTTCTCTCAATATGTCCATTCACTGAATATCCAACACAACACGTTAGCTTGTAACATGGTTGTTGCCAGGGAAACGCACAGAATATTACAATTTGATGTTTTTAAACATTAAACCTGCTTGAGTTTCACAAATAATCATTTAAAATCAAATACTCTGATTGATTGAATTCTGATTTATTGGACTTTAACAGCAAGAAGTCATTAAAAAGATGTACACAAATGTTTAAGAAAATATATTACCAAATACTTTAACAGTTAATAAAAATAACTTGTCCTGTTTCAGCCTCAAAACTAAACATATAAATAATAAGGCTGTGATCCAGCAGCTCCACACATTTATCTCCAAACTGCTTTTGTCAAGAAAAAATCTGTTAAACAGAAAAAAAACATTACAATGAAAAAGTAAAGACGGGTTTAGGCAGCTGAGTGCAACAAAATACTAACAAGAGTCTTCTTCTCACTGAGATCTCCAGAAGAACATGAAGGAGACTAATCACATTCAACTCTTAAATTATCCATTGGAAAAAGAGCTTCATAAAATATCCAAACTGCAGGAAATGCTGCTTCAAGTCAGTGTGGAAACGCTCATTTTTAAAATCCACTGTTTGATGTAAAAAATACAAAGAAGCCTCAAAAGATAGAATCAATACATTCCTTCGTAAATCCTATTTGGTATTCCTGAAAATGGTTCCATATTTCTTGGATTTTGGAGGTTCATGGTTTGTTTGTCCAGTTTGTTCCAAAACCACAAAGCTTCCCCACTGTAACACGGTGGAGAAAAGGAGTTTCTGGATTTTATATGGTTGTGTTTATTGTTATTATTATTAAAGCCACTGTGAGGATTTAAAGGACATAAGTGTTTTTGAAGAGTTTAATTTGCAGCACTTTTAAGGGACAAAAGCATTTATTTAAAAAAAAATATAAATGTTACAGGAATAAAGTTGTATTTTAATCATATTTAACATGCTAATTTAAAAGAATTCCGTAGCAATTTGAAGAGAAAGGGCTTATTTTTTATATCTAGAATGAGGTCACATTTTTAAATAGGAGTAGGAGAAGAAGTTGTGATATTTATGATCTCTTATTAGAAAAAATACCTTTAATGAATTCCTTTAATAAAATAATGTTCTTTTCAAAACACTTTGTGTTCAACAAGACTTATATTTTGACGTTATTCTCAGAATCTGTGTATTGCCTGTGACAGTGGCTCTAATAATGTTAATTTCAGGTGTTTCTAAAGAGGCCGATTAAAGAAAACACAACATGGTTTTGTTTAGTTTAGCCTGTTGTAATTTAATTTAATTTCTTCCCGTCGACTGTGATCATCTTGAGAGACGGGAGCTTGTTCGTCAGTCAGCAGTGTTTTAGAAAACTAGAACTTCCCAGTGATCAAGGTCAGAAAACACCATTGAGTCTGGTGAATGGCCTCCGGCATCTGGAGTTTAGCTCCAGAAGCCTTGAAGCTTCAGTCTCTCCACGTTAGCACGTTAGCATGTCTGTCTTCCCAGAGTGGGGTCGTAGAAGCAGTCCTCGTTGATCATGGAGGTCATGCTCTGAACGCTGAAGTCTCTCTCCATGAAGCCACCAAGGTCCAGGACCTCTCCTCCTGGACACCGTCTCAGACTGGAGCTCCCCCTCTGCTCCTGGCTCCTCCGGTGCTCCGCCTCCTGCTCGGTGAAGTTCAGCCTCTGCAGCTGGGCCTCCAGCTCGCCGGTGAGGGATCGGAGTCTGGTCCTCTTCCCCGCCAGGTCGGCGGCGGCTCGGCTGGGCAGCAGAGGCTCCGAGCAGGTCTCCTCCGCCCGACGAGGAGGCGTCCTCCTCTGCTGCCGCCTCCTCCATGAGCTGCTCCTCTCGGCCGGCGGCGGCCTGGTCCTCCTCACGGAGCCGGCCGGCGCTCGGTCTCTGAGGAGCGAGCGCAGAGCTTGAAGAACGCTGGCCTTCGTCTCCAAACCGCTGGAACGCAACAACACTTTATTCATCACAACATCATAATACATCAGGGAACAGAAAGACGTCTTCAAATGTCTTTGTTTGTCCAGTAAAATATTTGGGTGGCAGAAAACAAACCAGAAGACGATTAACTGACTAATCTAAACAATCAAATCTTAAACCTCATCATTTCAAAGAGAGAGATGGTCCTTACAAAGATAGAAAAACAAGAACACAAACACGCACTACAATGAAATGTTTCATCTTGGATCATTGATCATAATCCTGAGGAGCTGTGAGGATTACAGGACTGCTCATCCACCTGGGCTCTGATCAGGGCCCATTGATCAGAACTCATTGATCAGGACTTATTTGTCATCAGGACTTGATTGATCAGGGTTCCACGTACCTGCTGCAGAGTTGGAACACTGTCTCCGGTCGTCCTTCCACCTCCGAGCGGCTGTGGACCAGCTCCCACACGCACTGATCCTCCGAGCCTGTAAAACACGGGTCGAGTAGGGTTAGGGTATCGGTGTGCGTGGCGCCCAGCAGGGGCATTTGAGAGTGTGTGATTGGTCGCTGACCTGTGATGCCCGCTGGTCTGACCTGAACCGCTGACACGGGGATCAACCAGCGGAACCTGAAGGGGTCCAGGTCGGCTGGGCGGGCGGCGGTCTGTCCGACACATCAGAGGAAAACAATCAGGTATCAAAATGTAAGATAATAGAAACATAACTTTACTCAGGAGATTATGAAGATGAAACCTCTGGTTCTGTGAAACAGTTTCATCCACCATGTGATTTCACACAGAAGCTTCTGATGGGAACCAAATGATCAGGTTCAGGTGTCAACAAAACCTTCTTCTCAGAGACTCACCATCCTCTTCTTCAGCTTGCCGCTCTCTCGGTAAACCAGGACGACGGCCCGTCTGAACACTGAGGACACAAACAACATGGCATGTGACTCTCAGCACGTCCCCGCTGGCCTGGCGGCGTATGATCAGGGTCGTGACCCCGACCGGGGTCGTGACCTACCAAACAGAGTGAGCTCTGGCTCCTTCCTCAACCGACGGAGACCGGGCAGTGGGTTCAGCCACACCACCGACGAGTGGACCAGGAACTCTGCCATGGAGATCTCCGTCACCTGTGTGTGTGTGTGTGAGAGGGGAGGGGTTGAGTGATGAGTGCACAGGCAGGTGCTGCTCCATTATGTGTGCGATGAGGTGTGTACGTACCTGTCTGTCAGGTGAGCTGTGCTCTGCAGACAGCTGGTCGAACACGCAGCCAAAGTCCTCGTAGATCTTCTGCATCTCGTTGATGTGAGTCGCCACCTTCTCCATCGCTCTCAGCGCCTCTGAGGGGACGAGCAGGGAAGAACCTCAACACAGGCCTCTCAGGTGAGTGTGTGTACCTGTCAGGTGAGTGTGTGTACCTGTCAGGTGAGTGTGTGTACCTGTCAGGTGAGTGTGCTCGGGGCTCTCGGGCTCCGTCAGAGACACCAGCTCTCTCAGCAGCAGCGGATACTTCAGGACCCTCTGGACCGGTTTGATCAGGTACGACTCCAGAGAGGACGAGTGCTGATTGGTTGGGTTCCTGGTCTCCAAGAAGAACTTGAAGGCTCCGTCTGTCTTGGCTGTGAAAGCGGAGACCTTAGTCCACAATAAAGTCCAGGTGAATCACCTAAGGTGTGGAGCGTGACGGAGGACCCCTCACCTCTCTCCAGGACCTTCTGCACCTTCAGGTGGTTGGCACAGAAGCCGCTGTAGTGCTTGAAGTGGTCGGCGTAGTAGAGGAACGATCCTCCCAAAGAGAAGAGGAGATGCTTCGAGGGAGAAAGAGAGACACCTTTAAATGGGGAGTTTGGTTGAACCCAGCGGAACACCTGCTGACCTCCACCTCCTTCACCTTGAACTCTCCAGGTGTTTCCAGGTGGCCAAAGTCGGGGCAGGAGTCGATCCTCTCCTCCAGCGTCTGAAGGAAAACTCTCTGGAAGTCCAACATCTCTGGCAGGCTTCCAAACAATGCCTCCATCTGAGGGGTGGAGGGGAGTGTGGGGAGGGGGGGGGGGCGCAGTCAGAGACACCAACAACAACAACGACAGGAATGCCTCGTCCCCTCAACAGGTGTCTGTGTGTTTGTACCTCTGCTTTACTGAGGAAGTTCTCCTTCTGCAGCGGACTCAGGTAGACCTCAAAGAGACGGACCAGATCCTGATGGGGACACAAGTTCAGCTCTCAGTATCAAAGTATTACTACCAGTCTCAGAAGTACTAGTATCAGTACCAGTCTCAGAAGTACTAGTATCATAGTATTACTACCAGTCCCAGAAGTACTAGTATCATGGTATTACTACCACTATGAGAAGTACTAGTATCATAGTATTAGTACCAGTCTTAGAAGTACTGGTATCATGGTATTACTACCACTCTTCGTAGCACTGCAGTATTGCTGTAGTACTCTTACAGCAGCAGTACTCAGTAGGAGTACTCATAGCAGTACTTACCTTGACGTAGGACTTCTCCGTGTCGACCAGTTCCTGGATGACTTTACGCAGACGCTGACACACGCTCAGGTGGGCGGGGCTTGGAGGCTTCAAGACGGCGTCTCGGCCGTACGGGTTCCTGGGAAGGTCGGCCTCCGCAGATCGACCTTCTGGGGAAGTTTGGTAGAGGTCGTGATCCCGCTCTACGGTCTGAGGACAAAGCGAAATCACGGTCCATGAAGGTTTTCTAGTACTCCTCTTCATGCTCAGACTGTTTGGATCATGAAGTACATCAGAAGAAACAACTCAACGCCCACATGTACCACATGTGGAGGGGTCAGTGAATGCACCACGAAACAGTAGCAAACTTTCAGGGAGCAAAACTGAGTCTGATTGTGTAAGTATAAGTTACATTTGTAAATATGAATTACAAAAAGAAAAAACATCAAGAAAACAAGAAAAACGTTGAGGTACTTCAGGGGAGATGCACAAAAAATATGTGGACGGTTCAACATAGTAGTATTAAATCAATATTAGTTCCAGAAGGGTAGTATTACTATGGTATTACTTCATCAGTATTAGTTATAGTAATATCACTTCTATCTATCTATCTTGCTGAAGTAGTAGTACTGCAGTAGTATCAATTGTAGTAGTATCACTATAATACTAGGAAAGATGAGTACTAATACCAGATTGGAGTGATACTCTCATCCAAATAAACCTAAAGTACCTGCTGGTAGTACTACTTAATGTATAAAAATATAACTCAATGTATTTGTTGGTAATATTGTGTATTATTATTAATCCGTAGGGTAACTAAAGAGTCGAATAACTTCAGATTCAGCGGAGAAGTAAAAAGTAACCTGAAAATACTCAAGATAAGTAAAAGTATCTCCTTCTAGTACTACAGTACAGTACTACAGTTTACCAGGACGAGGCCACGGGCCGGCTGCTGGCAGCTCAGACAGCACCTCACCGCCGCCTCCTCCACCTCCTCCAACTCCTCCACCACCTCCTCCTCCAGCGCCTCCTCGTCCTCCTCCGGCGGCAGCACCCAGCACAGGGCGCCCATGGTCCGGCAGCAGGAGGTCGGGGAGGAGGCCTCGGCCGGGGTCAAAGGTCGCCCCCCGCAGCCATTTAGCAGCAACATCTAGGACTCGTCTCCCTTAGGACCAGCGGACGACTCTAATCCTCCTCGGGAGGAGGAGTAAACCCGGATTACCTGGTCACGGGGTCATGTGACGCCCGTCAGGTGACGTCTGAGCGTAACGCAGCTCAAGGGGATTGTGGGAAAGGATGTCTGCAGGTGAGGAGGCTCACCTACTGACACTATTATTAATAATAATATTATTCCTGCATTATATCTATGATATATAAATACATTTTAAAAAAAACTTTTAAATGAAAACAAATAAAAACAAATATTTAAGAATATATATATAGATTAGATAAAAAACAACAATTTTTGTCAATACATGAAAATAAAATGCAACAATGAAAGGGTGAGAATATTTTAGCAGGAAGCAACAAAAATTTAACACATTTATTGAGTAATTTGTTTACTTATGTTTCTATTTTGCAGCTTCTTTCCTCTGAAGTCTGAAGCAGTTTATCGTGAATCCAAATCTGTTCATTCTGCCAAATATCGCAAATCTTATTCAAAGAACTCTGAATGATTCTGCGAACAGCCACAACAAACACAAGCTGCCTCAAAATAAAACATAGCTCCCCCTTCAAAATAGAGCACAGCTCAGGAGACAAACAGACGAAGAGGTGAAGCTCACCTGTCTTTGCAGCTTGCCATCACAAACAGGAAGCGGGAAGCCGTCTGTAATATCAAAATTCTTATTAATGTACAAAGAACACATACAGATGTCCCTCTTGAATGTGACCTCTGACCTTCTCTCAGAGGTGATCTCTGTGCATTCTACATTAAATACACAAACGTTCACTCACTGAGCTTGTTACACTCACAGCTCTAAAGGAAGTTTTACCCACAATCCCCCGGGGTTGCAGCTTCTGCACTGAACAGCAACTAGCCTTCACAATAAAAGCCTTTCCTTGCTAACTAAATGCTCCTGTGGGAGCTGCAGTCAAATTCAGGTCCTGTAGGCTTAACAAGGACTATGAGATTGTTGACATTAACACTTTAAGTGATATGAACCTGGATCTGTGGCTGTCGTATCGGTGCTGGTCCAGTTCTGGAGGTCTGGGGGGGGCGGAGGGAGCGGGGGGGACGGGCTCCAGGAAAGGTCAGCGGGCTCCTGGTCCCTCTGGAGGAGCAGCTGGAGCTTCTGGTGGCTGAAGATACTCTGCATGAGGTCCAGGTCCAGCCCGGACACACCGGCACCGTTCACCGCCAGGACCTGGTCTCCTGCCCTGAGGCCTGATGGGAAATCACATTACAAAAAAACAACATGAAGAAGAAGGCGGAAGAGGAGAAGGCAGAGGAGGAAGTGGAGGAGAAGAAGAAGGGGGAGGAGGAAGAGATGAAGAAGGCAGAGGAGGAGGAAAAGCCGGAGGAGGAGAAGAAGAAGGAGATGAAGAAGGCGGAGGATGACATGAAGAAGGCAGAGGAGGAGGAGCTGAAGAAGACAGAGAAAGAGGAGGAGGAGGAGATGAAGAGGGTAGAGGAAGAGGAAGAGGAGGAGGAGAAGGAAGAGGAAGAGGAGATGAAGAAGCCAGAGAAGGAGGAGAAGGAATAGATGAAGAAGGCAGAGGAGGCTCTCACCCTCTTGGGCCGACTGTCCCAGCGGGTCGACCTCGCTGACGTAGACAAGACTTTTCCCATCTCCGTCCACGTGTCCCGTCACAGCGAAACCTGATCGATCACATTCATTGATTATCAGCGACACCCAAACGAGCTGCTGGTACAAAAGATTCACTGAATTAAAGAGGAGAGTTTTCTAAAGACAACAGAACCTGCTCCGCCACATGTAGTATTTTACACATTATTTTGTTTAGTATTTTATTGATATTTTCTCACCAAAGTCTTTGGTGGCGGGTCGACAGATGTTCAGAGTGAAAACACCTGGAGGCTGCAGCTCATCCCACACCTAAAGAAGGGGAGGAGACAATGAGTTCAGGTGCACGTGAAGGAGGGACGATGAGTTCAGGTGCACATTTGAAAGGTGCCGATTCATATTATTGATCCTTTACGACTCAAACTGACGTCTCTCAGTTGTTTTGTTAATCTGAAATCATCGTAGAACAAAAACATAAACGTAGCAGATTTTCATATTTAAGAAGCTTCAACGAGAATTCTGAAGCGATTTATCCATTCAACATTGAAAATTATTGCTGGATCAATTCATCCATTTACTGTTGCAAATTAAATCCTAGCCTTATCTTTAAACCCACAATTGTGAGTTCTTATTGTTGATTCTATTATTCGTATTATCCGCTTTAAAGCTGCGTCAGTGAACGCACCTGCAGGGCGGCCGGGCGACCAGCAGGGGGCGCCGCCTCCGTCTGCTCTTTTCTCTGTAGGAGGAAACACATTTTATTAGTTATTAACTGAAGGTTCAGTTCAACACCTGCATCAAGTACAAATGAAAACACTTTTATTTGCGAGTTTATTTGCCCAAAGCAAATAAAAGAAGAAGAGATGTAAAAAACAATGTGATTAAAAATGTAGCAATGAAAAAAAAATGAATGAATGATTAAAACAGATTTGAAATGACAGCATTAAAACATGAAAACTAAAAAATGAAGAACCAAAAATCAAACTTTCTGCCGAGTATTTGAACGCACCAACAGACACGAGTTTTAACACCAAGTCTGAAAGGCCGAGGAGGAGGACGAGGAGGAGGAGGAGGAAATATGATAAAGAGTCAGAGCGATGAGAACAAAAACAGAAAAGCTGTAAATGAAAAGCAGAAAAAAGGGGAAGCAGCAGGAGGCCGCAGGAGGCGTCACGTTGAGAGGAAGGAGGTCAAAAGAGGAGCAGAGGAGAAGAAGAGGAGGTCATGTGGAGAGGAGGTGGGGGAGAGTCACATTCTGCCTCTTCACAGGGTTAGCAGCGACGGACAAAGGAATTCTGGGCGAATAAAAGGCTGTGAGACCTTTTAATCCTCCTCCTCCTCCTCCTCCTCCTCCTCCTCCTCTCAGTTCAGCAGGCTGCTATGAAACATCTGTCTCTCTAAACAAACACTTGCTCTTCTCCTCCACTATGTTATAAAATAACAAAAATGTTGATATTTCATTAAATAAACAGGAAATCGTTCAGAAAGATGTAACACACACACACACACACACACACGCTGAGAAGTAATCACTCAGGAACAAACAAAAAATAACACAATCTTTATTTTAAAAGATCCGTCGAGGAAAAAAAACAACAAACTGATTCTAAACCCTGTTTCCCAAATCAAATCCAAATTTAGCCCCAAGGCATCATGGGTAAAAAGAAATGAGGGGGTGAACTGAGCTGAAATTACAGGTTTGCTGCAGCGGGAGATGTAATCAGAGCGAGTCAGTCTGCAGGCTGGAGACATCGACACTTCTCACGAGGAAGCACTTCTCCTCTTCATCTGCTTTTAATTGAAATAAGAACCTACATCTATATGATATATATATATATATATATATATATATATATATATATATATATATATATATATATATATATATATATATATATATATACATATATCTTCTATATATAGATGTCTATGTGTGCGCGAGGGAGCGCGAGGACGCGCGCGCTCTCTCACACTCTCTCTCTCGCGCGCGCTCTCTCTCTCTCTCACAATCACGAGAGCGAGTCTCTGACGCGCGACTGTGTGCTCACAGATCTCTCTGAGTGTACGGATTTGCACAGAGAGAGAGATGCGTGCGCAGAGAGTTATTCCCCCGTAGTG